ATATTTTGTGATCAATGCGGGCATTATTATTTCAAACTGTCAAGTTTCAAGTTTCTTATCCGGAAATTCACCTTGCCTGTTCGTAATTTGATCCAACTCCCGTCAGAAAGAAAGCAAACGGGGCAATTGTGCAATTTGGATCCAGTGCAGACGGGATTCACAATAGAAAACGATCGGATCGGATAGGTCAGCTTCAGCCTCTGAATTTTAATGTTTAGAATTTTTATATTTAAAATAAAAAAACTTCTTAAAATATAAAATTCACAAGTTTGGTCCTAAGAAAAAAATTCCAAGTCAACCGTTAAGATTTCCAACTGTAGCTGGATTTTCCAAACTTTGGGGGGCTTTACGCCCCCACGCCCCCCTATTATTTACGTGCCTGCTGTACAGTATAGTATAGATATAAACGCCCAGTTATTTGGGCACACTTCTTTAACAAAAAACTGGATCCCAGATCTCTTCCAGCAAAAGGCTGCTTGGCAGGGACGCCGGGTAGGAGGGGCAAGAGAGGCAAGAGAGGCAAGAGGGGCAAGAGGGGCAAGAGGGACAAGAGGGGCAAGAGGGGCAAGAGGGGCAAGAGAAGAGGGGCAAGAGGGGCAAGAGGGGCAAGAGGGACAAGAGGGACAAGAGGGACAAGGGACCCAAGTGCCATTTTCATAAAAGTCCCCTTGTTCTCGGCCTTTTGTTATTATTAAATCGATTCATGCGAAATCCTGCCTGTAGTTCCTTTTACATGACAAAATTCATCAAAACTTGTACTAAAATCTTTTTATGACAGCAGTTAAAACATTGAAACAAAGTGACAGTTAATAATAATAATAATAATAATGGAAACTTTTCATTTTGAATTCCTGTTAAAACTACAATTACAAATCTCACTATTACAAGGTAATTTGTAACTGGCTAGCCTGTGTTTACAAAATAAAAACTATTACATCGTAGTAATGAGAAAAAAAATGTTAAAAGGGGTGTAGCTCTGGATTAGGGGTGTAGTCCAAGTTTTGTTTCTACAGCAGAATATATAGTATGTGGTGCGAATGGAGATGCTTGTAAGTTTGGAGATGAGGTAGCGTTTCTGTTGATGATCAATGGACAAAGAGTCACACATGTCGATGAATGAGTTGCAGGAGTCGCCAAAAATACCAAGTGAACTGATGGAAAGATTGACAAACGAGACTGACTTAAACTGACGTTTTAAGTCAGATACGAGGGTGGCATATTTCCCTGACTTTCTGACAGCATTGCAGTTGAGATTTGTTTCAAAGCCTATGGTTAGCTCTAAAACGTACAGACAGTTTTCCTTAGTTTTGAGAAGTAAGTCAGGGCGTAGTTGATCTCCAGTTATGATAGAAGGGGAAAGAAAGCCTGGTAAATCTGCGTAGAGAGAAGACCCATTTATTGCTTGGAAGGAAGTGGCTAGAAAGTTTAATGCAGAATTATGACGCCAAGTATAGCGTCCTTGGTCAAGGTACACTTTGCATCCAGCAACAACGTGTAGAAGTGTTTCTGGAAGAAGACAGAATTCACAGTCAGATGTTTGACTAAGGTTCCATTTCAGCAGATTTTTACGAGTTGGAAGAGTGTTGTTAAGGTACTTGATGGTAAAGTTAAAGATGTTACTAGGCAAATTGCTTTGTGTACTTGACCAAATACCGTTCAGCTTTTCCAGTGAATGTTTCAGTAGGAAGGTAATTGTGGCTCCCTGAGATGTTAAGTTTTGGGAGAGACGTTCTTTGTTGTCTGATTTGACAGCCTTTAATACCTCTTTAGTATTACGATAGATGTCGTACTGTAGGTTCGTGCCATGACTGGTGTTTTTCCATAGGGTTTGAATGTCAATATTAGGAGAAGATTTTAGGGCATTGCGACAGGCAGTTTGGCATTGCGTAAATTTGATAGAAGGCAGTTGTAGATTTAGGCCAAACTGATTTTTTGAGAGGATTATTCCACTCAATGTTGCAGAAACAGGAAGATCAAGCCACTGGCGAATGTAATTGGAAACAAGATTGTCTAGGTTTTGGACAACCCAGGTCTTTGGTAGATCTGCAACAGTAAAATGCCATGAAACTTTTGACAGAACATAACGATGGTATAATAGCAGTTTGTTTTTAGGATGGAGAGGTAAGTCGTCAATATCCTTCATAAGAGTAGAGAAAAGAGAAACGAGTTTAGATTTATGATCTTGGTTACTCATTTCAAAATCAAAGAAACGACCAAGATACTTAAAGGAATCGCCATTTTTGACAGCAGGCACTATTTGGTTACAGATGAAAAGTTTCGGTTGAAATTGGAGGGATCGCGTAGAGTGTTTCTTGACACCAAAGGTAACACATTTGTCAACCCGGACAATGAAGTTTGCCCATTGGCGCCATCTGGTAAAGCAGTTTAATAAGAGTTGGTTCTCCTTTTCTCCACTGGTAACAACAGCAGCATCATCAGCAAACTGAAACCAGTGTACTGGCTGAAACATGCGGTCATTACCATCATGGGGGGAGAAACCAAGCTGCTTATATTTATCTGATTTGATGTATTGTATGAACGTGTTGAAGCAAAGGTTGAAAAGAAGGGGGCTGAGGCAGTCACCTTGCAATACGCCGCGGCGAACGGGAATTGCAGGGGTTTGGAATTTATCAGTTATGACACAGGTCTTAAAATCTAGATATAAGCTTGAGATCAATGATTGAATTTCCGAAGGTATATGATGATAAGCAAGAATAGCTGGTATCAGCTTGTGGTGAACTTCGCCAAAGGCGTTTTTAAGATCCAGCAAAGATACCACTAAAGATCGTTGCTTAATGCGAGCTTTATTTATTAAATGGCTCATCATTGCTGTGTGCTCTAATGTACCTGATACTTTTGAGGTGAAGCCTTTTTGGATTTGGTGCTCGATGAAGCCATTGTGTTTCAGAAAAGTGAAGATGGAGTCACGTAAGCAAGAAGTGAATATTTTTAAGGGCACCGATTCTAAAGTGATTGGCCTGAAATTTGATGGATCGTCTGTGCTGTCTTTTTTGTGAATCAAGATAGTGGAGGCCTTTTTCCATTCGGATGGTACCTTACCTGAAAGCCAGACAACACGAATTATTTCAGTAAGAAAAGAACGAAGATAGGGGCTTCGTTTGAAACAGATGATGGATATCTTATCAAGAGGACAGGGAGAAGTAGAAGCTTTCATACGCCTTATGATAGAGGTAATGGTTATGTAACTAGGTGGCTCTAGATCAAATGAATAAGATGGTTCATTGAAAGTAGGGATCCATGAAGGAATGGTGAAATGTTTGTTAGGGGCGATGGCAGAAAATGTTTTGACAAAGTATTCGGTACATCCTGCAGCAGAAAAAGTTGGAAGAGCTGAAGTTTCATATTGTAGAGTGCGTTTGACGTAATTCCAGAAATTTTTGGAGATGTAACGGTCGTGGTTTGTTATATTGGAAGATTTAGAGGGTGAGATGTGTTTTTTGATTTTATTGCGAAGAAGGTTAGAGACATACTTGATTTCAGTTAAAGGAGCATTAGAATGTTTCAAAGTTCTGAGTTCTTTTTTCAAATTCTTGGCAGTGAAATTGGAGTATTTTTCCTTGAGATCTTCGTTGCAGCATTCGATTGTTCCACAGGTTTCTTTAAAGTAATTGTAGATGGTTTCGTTCATTAATTGGATAACACGATCAACCGTTGACGCATCGACAGAAATACTTGAAAAGACAGAGTGGAAATATTGGTTAGCTAACAGCCATTCCTGGTCAGATCTTGGAAGACGAATTCCAGGCTTGATTTCGAAATAATCAACAAGGGGAATATCGGTGTGACTGTCGTTATTCTCAAGGTCAGCATCGTTCACAACCTCAAACAATTGCTCTTCATCAAAGCCTTTAATGACTCTGCAGTTCCTTTGATGGATGCGGAGCCCCTTTATTCCTTTGCATGACTTGCCGCAAGAACACTTTACACAGCTTTCGTTGTTAATGGCTGCATCGCGATTTCCGGAGTCAATGAGCGGAATGTTAATGCTCCCACTGGGACCAGTATGATTGGTTTGAACCCTTCGCTTGCAACGCCATGCATGCCGGCCTAACGAGCTAAAATCCTTTTCACAAAACGAACAAATCACGAATAAAATCAAAAGATAAACGATAGACGAGCGAATCATTGTATTTCCAGAGTCCTCGAACTGTTATGCATCGATTTGTAGTTAATAAATTGCAATAAATTAAATCCAGGCGTAGTAAGTCGCAGTCAAACAGGAGCCGTGTACAGAAGCGTCCGCACGCTACCGCTCAACGGATATAATAATAATAATAATAATGGATCGTGACCAGTATCTCAACAGGGTGGCTCTTCATCTGGTCGTTAAATACTACTCGATGTAAAATTAGAGATTAAAATAGTTTAAATACCATAAAATGTAAATTGGAATTAAAAGTAAGGTTCTTCTCTTTATGAATCAAATTAAAAGTCTCTTTTTTGCTTCAGTAAGAAAATATTCTTTAGATTTTGATGAGAATTCGGCTTTCGTTTCTGAATTTCTTATCGCATTCGGCATCTTGTTAAAAATTTCAGCTGCACTGTTACAAAAATATTTGTAGAAGTTGGAAGTTTTTTTCAAATGCCCTTTTACTGAAGCCTTCCCCCTTGCCCTTTGTTCGTTCCGGCATCCCTGTTGCTTGGTAACGCCCACTGCATCAAGGCTGTAGTTGGTATTACACACTTATATCTTAGCCTTCTGATAAGATGTGCTCATCTATTTTACATTCATAAACAAGACATGACGATGGGGCATACATTTTGTTACTGTTATTGAAAACAATACCTGCATTCAATGTTGTAATTTATTCTGCCATAGTAAGATATTGTCTAGGGTCTAAATCTCTTTGACTTACACTCTGATAATTACAGTGCGAATAAAGAAAAGCTGGCCTGGACCGCCAATTTCTGGCCCTTGTATGAATATTTAAAAAGAGTGCTGGTGGTTAGAATATCTTGATAATTTTTTGCATTACTACTTATAAGTAATTAATTTTACAACATCTATACTCGTATCGCCATTGAAAACTGTCCTCTGGCATAAGTCTTAATTCAACGTGTTGCAGAACATATTCTTGGTCACAATTGACTTCAAGTCGATCAAGGTATATGATGTTTCCATTTCCATTATATTGCCATGGAGTGTATTTCATGAAGCATAATATCTGACCTTTCCACAAAAGGTTGGTGACAACAGCACATTCGTAATCATAGTGTATTTTTGTCCCGCTCTCTGTCAGCTGAAGTTTCATGCCAATTAGAAAACCACCTTCGCAGTCTATTGATAAATGTGTAAGCTCTTTTGAGTGAGTGCTGTACGTGGTCTTGGGTGTACTGTTTGCCACTGTCCTCGTTATGTTGTTCACTGCCTGCTCGCAACATGTATACTGATATGAATTAAACCATTGATTGTCATTATGTCTCTTAAAACGAAAGCGCTTTAAGAAAGGGCTGTTACCTTCACAGCGAATGGCGTCGTCGACAAGATAGTTTAGCTGATAACCTTCTGGTGTCCTTGCGCTGTTTTGACTGACACATCCCGTGAATCCTACAAAATTGCAATGCTCACTCTAAGAACTCTTTTATCACTCTTGTTCATTTGCTAACACACATTCTGAAATCCTAATAGTCCAAATTTTCCCCATTTCTAGACTAATCTTTTTTATTATCGTTTTTTTAAGGTAAACTTTTATAACACCAACTTTTGATAATTCGAACAAATTTGCTTTTACAATTAAAGCTTGAGCTACACTATTTTTTTATAAGAACCAGTAAACTTAAGTTCAGGCTGACTGTTCTTAATTTTTTCGAAAATCTGAGGCTGGATTGTTCTTGATTTGTTCTTAAATTGATAGGGTGTAAGCAGTGCGATTGCAATCTTTTTCGCTCTACGGAGGTGTTCAGGCCTCATTTGCCAACAAAGTGAGTAAGACAGCCTTAATTTACTGACAAATTTGAATATTCACCGAAAAAGCACCCACACATCGCTAAAAATCCTCGATATTGAGAAAAAACGTTGCTCAAAATTGCATTTTGCAGAAGCTCAGCCTCAGCTTGTTTTTAATTTGTCCTTAACTTTTGACCAGTTTTGAGGCTCGTGTTTTTATAAAATTGTTCTTATAAAAAAAGAGTGTTTTGCCATTGAATATTGACTTGAGTACACTTCTAATCGTTAAACAATAAAGCTGTTTGAAAATCTGGCCATGAACATTTGGCAATTTCGAGATGTTCTTTCGATTCACGTGGTCAAAAATTTACTACTATGTGTAATATAGTGTAAACATGGACACCCTATGTCGTAATCCTTGTGATATTTTAATATGTTGTCGTTGTTAATCTTAACCATTGGTTCTGTTCAGTTGTTATTTTTTGACCGATGTGTACAGTTGCTTCTCTCTGACTAAGATCTATTTGTGATAAAAACAAGAATATAACACTATGAAAATAGGTTGTTCATGACATTCAAATCTTTTGATCTTTTTCCTTAATATCTTATCTCTTTATGGGGGTATGGTAACATTTTCTTGCACTTTTCCTGGAAGCCCTACTTCCCTCTTCTAGACAATAATTCAACTAGTGTACTTTCTAATTAAATTGATGTGAACATACCTGGACATGGAATCCAACTACAATTGGCGATTTCTTCTGCATCACCAAAGCAATCAATACCACCAAATGCAGGCTTTGGGTTGTCGCATTTTCGAGCTCTCTTTCGTGTTCCTCCTCTGCATATCCTGCTACATTCATCATAAGGTCCCCATTCTCCCCAGCCTCCATTTATTGCTGTAAAAAGTTTGTTGAAAATAGGTTAGGTGTCTTTTATGTGAAAAGTCACAGGATCTGTTCACTATAGATATAATATCATTCTTGGGGAAGCACATTCAAATATAGCTTTAAAGAGGTATCCAAACTTTTTGTTTAATCAAGTTATTATCAAGTTTGGATTGACTTTCATTATTGGAAGTCTTGTTATCCTTGTTAAAGACTTTGATGTACAGTTTATTCAGTTGATCTAGTCAATTTTTCAGTTCTTAAGGAAATTTCTAAAAATAACGGCTGAATACAACATACAACAAATGGCGTATTGCGCATTGCGTATAACGAAAAACTGCGGGTTCGAGGACTCTTCCTGGATAATTTATGTTGACCACGCCTTTTTTAATACACTCAACAAGTCCCTTTCAATTTACAATATTTTACCAAACATAGAACTGGGGACTATTTCTTGGGCCAAATTGTTTAAAATTAAAATTTTGTCCTTTCGACTTAGAATTTGCCTTATAGTGAATTGAATGTCCTCATTGACACCATCAGTAAAAATCAGTGGCGCCGGAGCACGGAGATGCGGGGGTGGCTGCCCCCACCAAATTGAGCAATTTCCTTAAATTTACTATTGTTTTGCCCTTTTTTCTTGGCGCTTTGCCCCCCCCCCCATCTGCACTGTAGCTCTGCCGGCGTCTCTTGTGAAAATGATCATTTGATTAAACAGATCAAGGCAGGATTGTTGGGAATATTTGAAACTCTTTTCTTTGTGGGATCCTACTCAGAACTTATGTTCTGCAACCAGATAGTACAGCCTGTATTAAAAATCTGCTTTATAAAACTCTTATTGTAAACCGTATCATTTCATAATGAACCAAATGAGTGAAAAATATTGGTTTTACAGCCAACAGCACTCAATATGTGCACCCCAGAAAAATTCTCAAGAGAGTGTTTTTTCTTTTCATTTTGTTTTCCAGATTGTGCTATCAAGTGGTCTGATTCAAAAAAGACTGTAGAAATTTTACACATTACAAGTAACAAATTAATCTTGAAAATTGACTTTAATCAAAAGTGAATAATTGCAGATTTTCATCCCCTCTCCCATACACAACCCCAACAGGTTTTCAGAGCATGATGACACACATACGTTCATGCTGGTCGCAATGAAGGCCGTAATATCCACTGCTGCAGTGGACGCATTCGTAGAAAGGAGGCTCGCATTTTTCTCTGCACAAAACATCGTCTCCGCAAGGTCTAAGGCGTTCACAGGTTGGACCAACCTAGGAAAATAAGGCCTAGTCAGCATTTAGTTACTAGTTGTTGGGAGGACCAATCAGCATTTGTTTGAAGGACTGCATCCCCCTTAACTAATGATAGGCTTCGTGTTGCTTAAATGGCATCACTGAGTTTTGTGTAAATAACAGGAAAACGTTCTCAGTACAATAAATTGACACATTCTACTTGTTTTTAATTTTCAATTGATTTTATGGTAGATGAATACGTTCTACTTCAAGCCAGATAACCCTATTTGCATGAAAGTTCCTGATGGTCCTGTTTTTTGACTGTATAAAACAGAATATGCATTCATAAAAATGATTCCAATTTGACTACCTTTGTTTTGTTATAATCTGTAGACTTGTAGATCCATCCGTGAGTCTCGGTGAGGTTGTTGGTGAATTTATCGCGGAAGGCACGGTCACTGAGCTCACAAATCTTTGAGGCGATCAGTATGTTGTATGACCTGCATCTGTGATTCTCTGTGCACTTCACTGCGCAGCCGACATCGTCTACTCCGGAGAGATTCATGAACACATGACCATTAAGCATAAAGTTGCTTTTAATAACAGCGAAATCTGCTAAGGTTAGACATGGAAGTCGCAGGATCATTGCCTTTCCGTTACTAAGCAATGCGAAGACCCAGAGCAACCTTAAAAGATATTTCATCATAAATTCATGGCATACTAAATCGAGACATTATCGCTTTTATGGTTAGAAGCATTTTCTTAAAGCTTGTTTTTCACATCGAATGGGGGTTATCTAATGGGTCCATTTTTAGCAACAACTGCACTTCAGTGGAGTAGAATGTAAAACACTTTTACTTATACCACACTTTCGGCCTAATCCAACAGAAAGCAAATGAGACTACAGATTCTGAACAAGGAATACTTCAGAGATCGATACTTTGAACTCTTTTCTCTATTTTTTTCTAAATGACATTTGTTCAGTGCCATCTGAACGAAATTCACTTAAGAAGGGGGGCTAAGCTGAGATTATTGGGGGCTCAAGCCCCCAGTTTACGACGGCCGTGTTTTACAACTCTGATTATTCGAGTTCTTGAAAATTACCTGAATGTAACCCAGTATCTTTCACTGCAACCAATACTGACGAGCTATTGCATTTTATAAAGGACTATTTTTAACCTAAAAGAGCGAGGTGCGACATTCGTCATCAAACCACTATCAGTAGAAACTCTTTATAAGAAGCAACGTGAAATGATAATAGTTGACAAAGACGAATAAGTTAAAGAATTCAAGGTTAGAAGTGGCAGGAAGAGCTATGCCCATGAAAGCAAGCCATAGAATATTTTGGAAGGGTGCCGGTCGTTTTATTTGTTGGTAATGTCAAAATAACCGGGCATGCTGTATATTTCAGTTTGCTACCAGTCGAATTCGTAAGGGAGATGCAGCTTTCATAAGCTTACAATCTTTCATTGTTTTTGCTATAAAGTTATTCACTGTTATCATTATGTAAATGAATTTCATACAGATTATCACAGTAAAATGTTATCTTAAGTATCAAACGCAAACCGAGCTAGACGATGTCCTAGAATGTATGACCTAGAATAAGGCTTTCAAACACCTTTTTTATCTACATTTTGCTGAGCCTCAATATTGTTGAATTTTTCAGATTTGGAGCCTAAGATTGTTCTTAAATTATTCTTAAGCGAAAAAAAATGTAACTGAGTCGCATTATAGTGTTAATGACCTCAAAGGCATTTCAAAGGTGTATTTCAAAACATGTCGCATAAAATCCGCATTTGATTTGCTTTCCAAAAAAATTAAATAAACAACAATTTGAATCTTGATGAAGCTTGAGCCTTGCAATATTCTTAAATTATTCCTAAATTTGAGCAATTTTGAGCTTTAGTATTCTTATAGACTATTTTCTTAAGTAAAAAAGTGTGTAAATTTTAGCTTGTCTTTACTTTGATAATTGTTGCATGGGGCGTTCTTGTAGAGGAGATTCAGTATAGGTGTGTCATTGCCGTCTTTCCTCTCTAACGAAACATAGATTGCTTGAAACTATAGGTGTCTCCCCAAACTTGGTGCTTGGTTGTCAGATACATCTAACACGCAATCTTGCGCAAACAAGTAAAACTGATGTTTCTTCCTCAAGACATTGTTTATGTTGTACCTCATACAGTGGCGGATCCAGCCAAAAATCTGACTACCGCCGAAATGAGATAGAGGGTTGACCACACCCTTTAGACCACACCCATTTCTTGGTCACACCCGGTTTTCTAAAATGATTATTGCTTTCTATAATTTCTTATGTAGACCATTTTCAAGAGACAAACGGTGCTTTACTGAAATTTCATATATCCTTACAACAAGCTTGAGAAGAAATAAATAATCTTATTCAATATTCTGAGGATGGATATTCTAAAAAAATTTTACGGCATTTAGCCGAGGAACACCATAGAATTAGAAAAAAAGATACATTTGGCAGAATTTCGAAGTGTCGCCTAAAACTCGCATTTAGTCGGACAATTACTTATGAAAATCAGACCTGTTGAAAATTACTAAGTTTAAAAAGCTAGATAAAATTTGCAATTATTGAAAGCAACTTTTGTTAAACAGAGAATCATACTTTTGGCGAATATTGTGGGCCTGACTTTTAATTTAATATTATTTTAAAATATATTCCTACGAATAGTTGTTTATTGTACAGAATAATGGGTCACATCGGCTTTGAAGTTACAGTTTGCCCACTTGCAGAATATGTAGGCATCCCCCCATCTTTCTGTAACGTTTGAGCCGCGTTGAGCGGCAGTACTACTTCAACTGAGCGGTAGTCAACTCGGTTGTTCATTGGTTGTCAACAAAATTTGTATGCATCCCCCCAGGTTGGCAGTGATTTCTGACGATTTGATTGGTTTAGGCAAGCTGACTACCGCTCAGTGCAGCTCGAATCCGCTCTACACCGACTCAACCCCCCTAGCTAGCAAGCCATGATTTCATCATCCCCCATGCTAGCCTTCTATTTGCAAACATGTGGCTCGGCAATTGGCACGCAATTTCCATAGCGATAAGGATTAAACAATATTTTTGTCTCTGTGGAAATTTCAGGCATGTTCCTAGGAAAAAGCCTTGGTTTGCAGCGCGATCAAATATTTTCAATAATTAATTATGGTTTAATTAAAGTAGTAGGATAAACATGAAAATGATCCTTGTTTCTATAATTTTTTGAATAATCTGACTACCGCTCGAGCGGTAATGGCGGTAGTCTGGATCCTCCACTGTCATATATACGCCTATAAACCCGAAAAAACAGCGGATATTACACAGCACAGTTAAACTTTTATGGTCTTGAATTCTTATGTCTCCTTCTGCGTTTCTCGTCCTGCTTCGACCTTTTTAAGTCATGGTTATCTTATCACAAAAATTGCGAATTAGCCCCCTCCGTTATTGTGTGATTTGTACTACAGTCTTCGATAGATCTTTGAAGTATCTTTAAATCCTACACAGGGACGACCAACAGGTCGTAATCCTGTATCTCATGATATGAGATGTAGGTGCTCATAATGAGTATCTTCTTACCTGAGTATATGTGACATTTTCACCATTTCTTCTTTTGAAGCTGATCGATTTTCCAATATGAAGCTTCTCATAGATCTTGAAAAAGATTGATTAAACGATGAGGTAGAAAGACTTCGGTGTTAACACATGCTTGGTCGAATGACACTGTTAGACTGCTAATTAGTAAATAATGTTTCTCATATAATTCTTTCCTTATGCGGGCAGTTTGATAATATTCATTTTAAAACGACTACATGCAATAGGTCATTCACAACCATCAAAATACAACCAGTAAACTGGGCAGCATTTTATTGCTCATGGTCTATTGTAATTGATACCAACCATTATAATTAATATAGCGGTCACAATGTGGCATTAAAGACATTTTCTGCAAAATAAGGTCAAATCCACTGAGTATTTTGATCTGGATTCACTGAGTTGATTAAACTATACTAGCAAAATTAGCAACGTTATTCGCTTTATCTTCCGGAAGTAGAGGCTTCCACAATATGTGGCTGATGGGGCATTTCTTTGTGAAAAGTAGAGTATATCATATAACAACCAGGACATGCGTCCTTAGTAACATTGTTTGCATCCCTAGTACAGCGAATTACTAATTGCCAATAAATCACTCGAGGAAAGTTAAGGGATCTACATAACGAAATGCCGGAAACTTTGAGTAATGTGTGGATACTGTACCTTCAAACTAAAAAGATTTGGGAGCTTCCAACCAGAGCCGAATTATCCTTACAAGACTATGAATGCTCTGTCGGCAAAATTTCTCTTAGGTTTTGAGGTCTTTTGGCCTCTCATCTGTTATTTTCTCTCTAAGGGAGCAACCTTATCGAATATATACATAGAATAATTCTGTTACTCTCACCTCCGAAAACTCTGATTAACTCGAACAGTTTTGTATTCCTCTTGGTCCTTGTCTAAATACATTTGAACACATTCAAATATTCTTTAGATGAATCATCTTCATCTGATACTTCGGAGCCTCCATATAATAGACACTGTTTGCACAAATGTAATTGTCCGTTGTATAAAGGTTCCTTATAGCGTTTTGACTATTTGGGACGAACATATCTGTCCGTCGTTGAGAGGTGAAGATTCTTCTGTATTCGGATTATAGTGTATATTTCTTTATGTAGCAGAGTCTGACAGAGATTATCAATTTTGGTGCAAACAGATGGATAAAAGTGAGGCAATCGAATGGTTTTGAATTGCACATGGAGGTTTTGAAAAGCAGGCACAATGTTTTCTAACTACTTTAAAAGACAACGCTTTCTATAGAAATGGTATAAGACATATCTCTTTACAATAACTTTTAATAAGTAAGAAACAGAAAGGACAAAACTTGCGCTAATTTTCAATATAAATATATATATACGTATATATTCATGTAACTACAAAAATTATATTCATATTTTTGTATTTATTAAGAAATAAATGAATTAACATAAATCTATGTATTATGTATTGAACAATTTGCAAGATATTTCCATTCTAAAAGCTGTTTTTCTCATGATTGTAAGATAACCATTCAAACAAATCAAATTTTATTTTAATTGAATTCTTGTATCTTTTATAAAATGATAAATTTTCACCCTTAAATTCCAGCACAATTTATCATGCATAAGTTGTTTTTTCTATTTTTTATCTGTTTTTTGACATCAAATTCATTAACAATGTTAAAATTACTATATAAGCTAACCTGTATTAACGCAAATTTGTTTCTGAAGCTTTTCCACTTTTTTCCAGAAGAAATGCATAGAACTTTCTTTTTCTCAAAATATAGTCTAGGTGTACCCATCTCAAATATTTTAACGGCAAGGACCAAACTGGTTAGCACTGAAACATTCTATGTTAGCTCAACATTAAATACATTACAACAGATATACATTGAAAATTCCAATTTAAATAAAATATTTATCTAAAAACTAGTAAATCTGAGGCACCCAAGAAACCTCCTTGTCATTTCAACTTGGAACAGAGGAACACCAAAAAGTGCAAAAAGAAGAGAACAGGCAAGGAGAAAGACATGATCAATTTACGTGTAGACACGGAGAAACTATTGACAAGGATTAATTGGTTGGATGCAGGGAACAGGTCACTTTGGCAACATTTAAATACCAATGCAACTACCCACCAACGTTGATGCTAGAATAGCAATAAGAAGTCGATGAGAAATTTTGTATCTTCTTGAGAGAGAAAGAATCACCATAAATCCTTTAAAAAGTGACACAAATTCTCAAGAGCATATATGGAAAAACTCTGTTAACAAAGGATGTTTCAGGCAAATTATCAAAATCATAAAAACGCATTTTCAATACTATATTCTCTATGACTACCAAACGTGGCATTTGTCTGTTGGATTCATCGGTGATCCTGCCTTGCATTTAAACGCTTTTGAGAACCCAACGGTGTTACTCAATGTTCCAATGATTCTAAAAACAAAACAATGAAAGTTTCAAATTTTTACGAAGATCTCTAAATGACATAATGATAAGATATTTCAAAGTAGCGTATTTGGCGGTGGTAGTGTAGCCAGAGGAGACTCGTTAGGGCCCCATAGTTCACTCAAAGTTCAATCAATTTTCCTCACTCATGATTCATGTGTCGTCTTAAATTTTCCTAGAGAGCGTCTTTCTTTAAATCTTAGTTTATCAGTGATGCAAGATATGTCTGTCATTCAAGACGATACAAAATCTTATCATTGCCAATGGCTCAAACATCAAATTCAATTTGTTGGTAAAAAATACCTGAACATAGAAGGTGCATGCACGTCATCTTTGATTGCATCAACCAGGGCTTGGTGCGTTGAGTTATGGCATTCTTTCTGTAAGCAACAAAAAAAACTTTGTAAGAATTTATCCATACCTTGACAGCGTAAGAAACGTTTTCGAAGAATAAGGTTTTGATGAGAAAGACCTTCCATTTGTGACTGAGCCAGTTGAAGTCAAATAAAACACAATAGAAGTGCGTAGGGTATTGCAGTTCAAGTAGGCCCAAGAAACTATTCTCATTTTTACATTGATGACTTTATCAAAAGAACCCAGGTTTGCAACTTAGTGATAACTGATTGATTGTAAGCAAGATAAGGCACCGCAAGGAAAAAAAACTTATACATAATTATAGTCAATTGTATTCGATCTTATGGTCTCTCAGACCTAGATTTTACAGCATAGGTTATATGATTTCAGAGCCTCAATAATCTGCAAATTAAAACCCAAAACACTTACATTTCAAGCATTTTAGGCCCTGACGGGTTCATGATCTTACTTTAAGGGTCAGGTTGTACCAAAGGCTAGTTACAAGCTTTATATTCAGCTCACCTGTGCATATCCAACGAAAAACAACTGTTTGTTATTCAAATTTATTCCTGGTAACGTATATTCTTCACCGTGCTCTCTGACCCATTTCTCGTAAGCCTGTAGTAAAACAAAGCCTTAAAAATTTTCTATACCATGGTATTTGAATTGAAATAATCATTACACTAAAAAGTCATTGGGCATTAGCTAAGAAGGTTGACCAGTATGTCTTCAATATAGCTCTACTTGCCTCATAAGCAATTTTCAGTCCACCTCCATCTGCAATATTTTCTCCCAAAGTATTTTTTCCATCAATCTGAAACAAAGGAGTTGAATATTCACATTAAGCCTTTCTCACAGTAAACCCTTCTCATCCAAAAATTAATGTACAAATGATTTACCAAAAGAGACCAGTCAGCAAAATGGACCATTTTGCAAAACTTTGGGGCAGGTCCGCTACTGCTGAAAAGTTGATGTGTTGACTACATGGTTTACCATAACTATCAAATCAATAACCTTAACTCTGAAAGACTCTTACATGTAAATTGTCTCCAATTTTGTACTTATTGAATTGTTTCACTAAACACTTCGTTCTTTTTTCAAAATTTGCAATGGAAGGATCGCTCCATTTTGTTCTTCTCTGAATCAGCTCTCCGTATAAATTGAATTTTCTTCCTATCAAGAAAATAGAAAATGAATTTTATTCTTTACAAAGGAATTTATATATGCATAGAGGTTTTCCAACTAAAAAATTGTAAATTTTCATCGAAAACAGCGAATAGATCAATATTCCCCATGCAACGCTTTGAAAGAGCTGACTTTTTGAAAAAGCAAAAAAGGCTACCATTCCTCTTTGCTTTCGAATCCTTAACAACAGTCCTGGCCACAAATGCCGAGAGAGTTCCACAAATTCTAAGAATTATCTTGATTTTTCTTATTTCTTTCTGCAGAACATTTGATACAAACCTAATGTGTCAAATCCATGTGTCAACTCGTGACCCAAGACATGGCCTATTGCACCATAACTCACAGACCTGAAAAAAATTATATCCATTAATTCTTAATAAAACCCTTTGGTATTTCTCGAAAATGTATGGATTTCAATGATCTGAGGGTGTTAGAAAATCGGGAATGTACTCACCTTGGAATGGGTTCTCCGTAAAAGAAAGGAGCTTGAAGAATTCCAGAAGGAATAACAATTTCGTTTTTAGTAACAACGTAGAATGCATTAGCCATGTGTGGAACACTCACCCATCTAAAAATTTAAAGGTAGGTATGTGTTTTAGGTATCATTTGAACGAATATGAAGAAATATTGAGCATAGTTTGCTTGTTGGAAATATGCCAGATTTGCTTAGGTACCTTGTAATTTGAACTACTAGCATAGCAAAATGGGCAGTAGGGCAGTGGGCTATGGGGCTAGGGGACTGGAAGCTACAGAGCTAGAACAAAGAGGTCAAGAGCAATGTTAACATTTTGACTGCCAAGATTTCTAGTTTTTTCACTTGTACCCCTGTCCTTATGTCTAATTAAACATGAATACAAGAAGAAATAAACTTACTGGTGAGGGTCAACGGGCTGGTCCAGTTTTCTGAATGTTCGTCGATTTGAAAATCTGTCTATACTAACAACGTTCTCAAAGAATGTGTCTGGGTGTATTTCAATCTATTAAACAAAAAAACAGCGCTTAATAAATTCTTCTGTTAGAATTTCTGTAATAGATTATATAGGCAATTTATTCAGGACGATTTCAGTTGGGGTAAGGACGCATGCCCCGCTGAAATAATTTCTTAAGATATTTTCTTTTCAGCTGCCATGTTAGGGTCCTCCCGCATTCACCATGGAAACAGTTCGCGGTGCTCCCCCTGTCCTCAAACATGAGCGTTTCTCCTTAATAAACAAACTTTTCAGCCACTGAGTGTTTGAAATATAAAATATTGCGCAATAAGCATTTGCAGCATTAATAATTGCTTATTTATTGGGTGCTTAAGGTTTTAGCTGAGTAGGCAGAAATAAATGATTTGTCATGGATCAAAATATTTTTGTGGTAAGTCTAATGCAGAAAGCGTGTCTCTGAAGCAACAGCGTCTATAACGTGTATCCAAAGTATTATTTATGTCACGAATGTATTTATTATAGAGTTGTCTTATCTCTGGTGTCTGCATTTAACCGGGTAATGAAAATCGCCAAATGACGTAATGATTTTAAACCGAGGTTTTACCTCCTTGTATCGTTCGTTGAATAAAGTATTGTTGTAAAGGTAATCAGGATAACCAACTTTAACGACAGCGGCGTCGGCCTGAGACAGAATGATTTATGAAACATTAAAATCTATGATACGTTGTGTATGAAAACATTTTCCTTGAATTACAATCGTAAATAAAAGTTTAGATTAATATCATCTTTATCTATTAATCCACAAAAACAGTTGTTTCTCATTAAAACGTAAACTTTTAGAATTGATTTGATTTGTATAAGTAAACAAAATCATTTAGGCTATCATTGTTACCATCAATTTAAACACATCCAAACAAAGAGACTGTTGTCTCTAATATTGCAATATTTCGACGAGAAAATACGAATGAATGTAAACTAGCCTTCTCTTTTACAGCTTTAGTCGTTTGGCCACTGATCCACGGCACACTTTCTGAATTTTTCTCAAAAGCCTTTATAATAAGCTGCATCATCTCTTCAACCTCTTTTTTGTCAGCGACAGAGAACTCATGCCTAATAAAGAGGCCACCAACAAGAGGGCCTAATATTTCATCTGTGTATCGAAAGCATGTTTCTTCTCGTGTTTTGTTTTGAGCTTTACCGGTTAGCTTATCTTTGAAGTTTTTATACGCGGTAGTGAATTCTGTTGACAAGAAAGGCACCATGTCTTTTACCATTCTCCACATCATGTAGTTGGATAAGATTCTGTAAAAAAAAGGATGAAGATGTTAGTTTAACATCTTGTGTTCGCATTGTGTTCCTTTGTTTGTATTGTGAGAGTGTGTGCCCAGGGTATTGGTTCTAGAACATAAATATGGGGCACAACCACAAGTCAATATCAGCTATTAGCTTCCAAAACCCTGGCTTGATTCAAGAAATTAATCTTGCTTGCTTGCTCGTTATTTGTCTATTTGTTTGTTTGCTTGCCTGCTTGGTCATCCACTCTTCTAGGCTGCAGAACTGTTATATATAATTGCTATGGATTCTTTTTACCTCTAGGACTAAAGCTTTTTCGCATGGGCAAATATATGGAAATTGTAATACTAAGACATGTGCTTATTATTACAGCTCAAATAAATAATGAATAGAATGAAGCGAGTGAAGTTTAGATGTTAATTAGAATTTATAGCCTTTCCTCCTACTTGTTAAAATATTATTTCTTATTTACGAGAAGAGAAGTGAAAAGAGAAGTTCACATTCTCAATTAGAAAAAAGGATGTAACCAAAACAATTACCTCTTAGGTGTGATATTGAGAATGCTCACAAGATCAGCCAGGTAGTCATTGCAAAGCACAACGATGTGATCATTTTCTGTAATATTGCGTGGACTCAGTACGTATCTTATATGCTGCAACCACGGGAACTAAAGTAACATGCAAAAATAGATGTAATGTCAATAGGTCTGTTATTAATAATTTTTAGAGCGATTTGAAATAAAGATTATCATACATAGGAAACACGTCTATTAGATGTATCATTATTATAATACCATTTATTGTTATGCTTGATTCACCCTCCTCTTCATGTATGCAATTGAGCAGAAGTAAATGCAAAATGATAATACACATTAAAAACATATATATTATAAAATGTATATTTTCATAAAGCTACGAATGTTGGTTGTCGAATATGCAGATAGCTTCAAACGGTTCTGTAATGATACAAATAAACTCTCTACAAACCTGTTGGAGTTAGATGCAAAGCTACAAATCAACTTACTGTAGGAATTGCTTTTGCTAAGCTTGAAATAGTTGTTCTTGCATATTTCTTTGCAGCTTTGGGTACACTGATCTGTCAATAGCAACATTGAAAATCAGCACAGAATAATAAGAAATTTGATATAAGTTCTAAAAGGAAATAAATTTACATAGAATTTATATAGATATCATATAGGAGGAATGAAAAACAAGTAAAAGTAAGAACGAAGTCTCTACATGTAGTCACGTATACATACGTAAATAAGTATTTTGTGGCGAGGGTTGTGTAGCTTTGCAATTAGGCTGATTAACTTTTACTTAGTCAAATGATAACGGGTATTTACACCTAGCGCACATTACATTTCAAATTTACTTATTGTTACATGCAAAACATTATTTTTTTAAAGAAAGAAGTCAACATCGAGGCTCGATTTGCTAAAAAATTAAGAAAAACGCAAGAACATACAAAGTCTCAGGTTAAAAATTGGAAGAAATAGCAACGTATGACTGAAAATTTTGTTTCGTGTTAATGAAACAGAGCAGACATAGTCAATTAATCAACCGTTTTACTGAAAATGTCACGTAGAACTATCATTTAGTGGGCTTGAAACAACTTATTGTATAAAGAATCTTAATCTATAGAATCTTAAATGTTGAAATAGGAACAGCCTGAAGAAGTCGAGCTTCATAACAAATGTCAAAATAAGGGCAAAAAAAAGGGGGGGGGGGCTCTACAAAAATAATCTGGGTCGTATAAAAAAGGAGCGTAGCGGTTGATTTCAAAGCGCATGCTCATTGTCGAGAGCAAAGACGGGGGATACACATTTAAAAGAAGACTTTCACGTCTTTGCATCCCCAACAAATCAATAAGATATTCGTCGCTTCAAAAACGCAAGTTAACAATTCACACCAAAAACGAAATTTTATTACCTTGGCAAGTTTATACTCAAAATCCACAACCTCCTTCATTTTACGCTTTGCTTCTTTGTATGATGCTCCTGCGTGATGAGCAATTGTTGCAGCGTACTTTGTTAATTCTCTTACCGCCTGAAAACATAAAAAGTGTTAGAATGCGTGTATGTTGATATTTCACAATAGCAATGCTCCAAAGTATTCATTTCTCTGTAAGCTGCTATTTTCTAGCTGAAAACATCCATTATTTGAAATGACATTTTGAATTCATGAACAAATCATAGTGATTAAATATATTTTGTCAATCTCTTTTGTCAAACGCAGCTATAATCTATAAGTAATTCATCGCTCTTTGCCATATTGCATTTAGCTTTTTGCTTGTTTCTCCAACTCTCTCCATATGTAGCAATGTTCTTTAGTTTTAAAAGATCGGTTTTTGAATTGAATTGACTGCTGCTGAGTGCTTACTTTTACTCTCTAAAATCACAGGCAATGCCATCACTGGCTTTTCAGGATATAGCTTTGAATATCTAGCGTGTGTTTTGACAGGGTGGTAGAGTTTTTGCTAAGCCTTGCTTAGGCCATTAAAGTTTACTTCAGGCAAGAGACTGTTTATATAAACTGATAACCAATTAGAATAGCTTTGCATTATCCAGCAAAGAAATAGCATGACAAACCTTTTTGTTTACATAGTACACAATTTGTGGAAGACATAGTTTTGCCTGATCGATCTGTAAAAATAAGAAAACGTTTACAAGGATGTTGTAATACAAAAATACACACAAATGAATTCTGCATGTGGAATTGTTGCAAAAAGATTACTTTATTAAAGATAGTAGCGTATTTCATTTTGCTTAACAGCTGACGACTTAATATTTGATGGTGAAACACTTAAGTTGTTTGTTTATATCCGTATAGTTGGTTGATTTTGTTTTAGCCATAGGTGAAATGACATCCGATCCAGTGATTAGACTCTGTTTACAAAAAAATAATATCTAAATTGCTACAGCTGCAAATTAATTCCAAATGAAGCAAGTTTTGGGAGGCTAAAAAGCAGATTATGTTTCATACTTTTTATTACCATAGGTCCATTTCGACTAATATCTATGTATCGAACATTTTGTGTCTCGTGAGCAAGCAAAATAAAAGGAACAAAGAAGAATTAATGATTCTTGTCTTGCTATGTTATGAATTTTCGCAGATTGTTTAGAGTAAATTTTTCACTAGACACATATAGCCTACTATCTTTAATTTGAGGTAAAATCTTCTTGTCACCAAGTTAACCATCTTTTATTTAACGTTTTTTAACATTTCAAGATATCATTTCCCAGCGAAAAAAACACAGAAAGTCACTACGAAGATTTTGCTTTTTCTCTTGTATTCATGACTGATCACTTTGTGGAAAATGAACAATTCTATCAATTTAATTGTTGCACACTAAATGTCATACTGGATAATTTTCCCTTGTTTCGGAAGCAACCTTATTTGAACAATTCTGAAAGTTATTACGGATTTTATATGCAATCTTTTCTTTGACAAACTATGAGCACATTCTATACTGAGAAACCATAACTGTGAAAAGAAGACAAAAGGGCTTCAATGATAAGGTGTGAGCAACAGCATAAACTTACCGTGATAATGTTCATGGTCCTATTCTTTGGGTCCACATCCACGTCAACTGTGAAAAATATCTCAGCTGGGTATTCTTTATGAAACAATTGCAAGGTTTTGTTAAAATCCCACTTTGCCTCATCAAAATCAGAAAAAATATCCCATGAACCTAAGTCTGAAATAAATTTTTTTAGTGGTTTGCCGCCACGTCCATCAACAAGTTTTGTATTCAAACAGGATTTATAGAAATTCTTCACTTTTTTGATTGTCTTTATGTCACTTGAATTATCCGTTTTAAGCAGTTTTTTTAATCTTTTATCATTCCTTTCCGATAATTCAACAATGGCAGAGAATTCGTCTTTTCCTTTTGGAATGTTGTGCTGCTTTATCCAGCCTCCGCAGGCATAATTGTAAAAATCAGAACAAGGGTCAATATCTGGATTCATGTTTTCCTTGATTCTCTTCGCCACCCTCTGACATTTCTCAGCTTGGCAAACTTTATCATTATCCTTTACTAGCGTGCTTCGTCTTCTCGCTTCACCAATGCAAAACATACATACTAATACAGTAAAAACAAAGTTAAAATAACTAATACCCATTGCAACCATTGCAAGTTATTTTCAATGTTCGAGCAGTCTTTTGACCTTTATTCTGTGTAAAGTTTAAGCTCTGCTTCAACGATTAATAATAATTCACCGTTTTGTCATCGTCTCTTTATATATAAATATATTTACATATTCCTTCCTTCTTCAAATTTTTGGAAGCTCTCAGAGTTCCATGTTGCAGTCTATTAGCCCATGAAATCGAGACGCAAAAATTTGATCGCTACTGGTGCGTGTATTATTTCTGCTCACTGGGTGCGTTTAGCTGTTGACCCAATAAACACGGTATAAAACCATGAGTTGACTTGAGATACCTTATTATCATGGTCTCTGCTCTCTCCTAGGATAATATTTTGATATAAATGCATTTGGTAACAAGCAGGTGCATCTTCCTTAAAGATTCGGTATTTGATATGCTTCGCTTTGGTTGCTCTGTCGTGACGTACCGTTGTGCTTTTTGTTTGATCTTTTCTTACAGGTTTTAAATAAAGATTTCGTGACCCATTTGCGAATAATTGCATCACTTTTGCTGCATTCTAGACCTCTGAGAATATCATTGCAAGTTAAGTTAAGTGTGCAAAACACTTAAAGTTTCTAATACAACAAAAACTTTCATTCTGTTGCCAGCGTTTTGTTTTGTGTTGAAAGTCTTGTTGAAAAAGTCAGTATACTCGTATAATGACTACTATTTTAACGATTTCAAGAACTGATTACAGCAGATTTCAGGGACATACTGATTACCTAACTTGAAAGAAAATTCGGATTCTACTGTCAATCCCTAAATATAACTTCTTGCGAATCGTATAAAAATGAACTTTAGGAAGGACTCGAATTTCCTTTTTCACTGTTTGTTAGTTGTCACTGCCAAAATTACTTGGAACACCCAATACTTAGCGCTGCGCTTTTCTATTTTTCACTTGTTTTCCTGAATGTTACTACTTCGGCCCCCCTTTCATCTAAAACAATGTTGAAAGTGTAGAAAATATCATACAAGCCACAAGAAAAGTGTCCTTCATAACCCTTTTCTTTTTCATAGTGAATCAACATTGTTTCTGGGGGGAGGGGATGGCTGAATTTGCCTTTGAAAACTGATGTTAGTGTTCCAAGACATTTGTCAGGGATTGCAGTAAATTTAAAAGCTAGTTTGGTATAATTGTGTTGAAGTATGCCATTATAGATTAGCACATTCAATATTAAAGCAATCATAACAAATCATATTTGAACTGATCAGGTAAAAACCATAAAATCAATTACAAATTAAGCATTTAAAACATTTGAATGAATGTTATAGGCTATCATTATTTGCAAAACAGTCTTTTATCCCGAAAACCTTTTGCTGCCATTCTTATAACGTATGTATGATGCAAACATTCTGAAATTTGATCTTTAACAATATTTTTCTTGAATTTGGATATCTCCTTCTTAATGAAATATTCAATTATTGGGCGGAATGAGCCCCCAAAGTCCCCCAAAGACTACGGTTTTGCTTGTGGTCCTATTTTTCTTTTTCATTAGTTTTAAACTTCATTCTTTGTAAGTATTGCGAATATTGAACTTAAATTTTAAAGAACGTTCTGTTCGAATGATAGGTTTTTTATGTTCGTTGCAAATCAATCTAAGTTTGATATATGCCGAGATCATAAAGAATCTTTTAGTTTGATAAAAGGCTTACATATCTTTTGGCAAATTCAGTGGTATGTAGAGTTTTTCTAACCTATATTTCAAATTTGATAGATTGGAATCTTCTATGTTTTGCTTGTCGATATATTTTAAGCCTAAGACAATTACTATTCATAAGGATTCGCTCATTCCAAACAAAGAAAACGGAGGTAGAATTTTCTTTGTTAAACGTATAAGTAGAATAGCGATCCCTTTTAAGATCGTAAATTCCCTGATTTAGGCTTAGCAGCAGGCCTTCTCTTAAAACTGTTTCTGAAAAGCGAACCAAAGGACTACAGAAATCTGTTGTTTTTGTAGAACCATGGAGAAAGACCAGAACAAGTCTTCTTTTTTGAAATTAAGAGATGCTGTCAGGAGAGCAAAAATTTTTGAAGACTGCCACAAAATTTTCGAAGATATTGCACAAAGAACGTTACGACCAGACGTTTTTCCCGATTTCAAATTTACGTTTGAAAACATTGACAACGATGCAACGTCGGCAGAGGCTACGCATCATAAATTTTCATCGAGAAATTTTCGATTTCCAAATTGTCCTGTCGAACAAAAGAGACTTCTAGACAGCGAAGCTGAGCTTGAACGAACCGACAAAGCTAAAGAGCGAATACAGAGGCCATTAGCAGAGAAACCATATGGCAGAAATGAGAGGAAAGCTTTACATGTTCAGTTTGATCGGATCCTTTGTTCAGGAAACAAAAACGCAGGGGTAAGAGCTGTTACAATTTTACGCAATATCGTAAAATTATAAAATATTGGAAATTTTATGAAACAGTTGAAAGTTTGTTATTAAAAAGCTTGATGATAACTGTGACTAATATTTAAAGATTTAATGAAATATCCTTTAATTCAATTTAGCGCTTGTTCTGAAACTGCAACAAAGTCAAAATAAAAAAAAAAAGTTTTAGTTGTTGCGATGTAGCAAGATACTTAAATATTTTTGAATTTTTAATTTGCGTGACTGCCCAAATATTTTTTAACGCCGCGCGCCTTTACTGTCGCTAACTGAACTCAAATTCAAAGATCTGTTTAAGTACTGAAAAATCGCAGCCCAGTTATCTTTTGGATATAGTGTATAGTATGGATTGATCCACGGCCTCCGAAAGGGGATCTTTTTTTGCAAAACAATTGAGCTTTTTTCAAAATCTTTTGATAGGGCTGTTAAACTTTTCCTTGCCCCCCCCAAACTTTTTAACCTGTGTCGGAGCCCTTGTTAACTTTGTACATGATAGGATGTGATATAAATGAGTTAAGTTGCTCTTTTCTATCTCTCCTTTCCCCTTCCTTTGTTCCTACTAACTTGTAAATAACTAAGCTTTCTTATGATATTCTATGTAAACCCATTTTGCTATCTTTTGAGGATATATGATTACTAGGGCAATAATTTTTCATTCACACCCATCTTGAAAAATCATATAAAATCTGCTATTGTGTTGTAAAAGTAGGCTATTTGATTTGTGCTTACTATTTGCTCTCTTTTTAGCAAATTTATTCATTCTGATGTCTTTAATTTTGGAGCAATTTTTTGCAGTTTTGTTGAGTTTTGGGTATAAAAGTACAATAACGCCGAGAATACGCCAATTTTAAAGATTCGCTATCTTGAACATGCTGGTGAAGCGTATTCCTGTTGAGCAGACATAATGGAAAATGTGAGCGCATGCGCAATAGGATGGAATCTTTACGGCTGTGATTCTGTACTGAAAAAAACTGGAGATTTTGAAAGACAAAATGTCAATGAGCAAAAAAACATATAAAGACAGGAACATGTTATCCTAGTCTATATTTTATGGCCTGGATTTTTTCGAAAGCAAAGACAAATCTAACAAGTAGTTTAAAAATTATAAGGGCTGATGCTAGCTATGGCAATCCAATCTCGGTGCCAAAAAATATCGACTAGCTGTAATCAACAAAATAAGATAAGGAAGTGTTTAAAAAGATAAGCTTTTTGAGATCGGCATTTGATTCTTCAATGGTTAGGTTAATATATACCAGGTGTTGCCTTATTTCCTGATCTGTTGTTAGAAGTAACAGCGAGTTGAATTTAAGTATACAGTTTAGAGTTGTTTAGAGTTGCTAATGAAAACTAGAATAAGCTTGAAAAATAAGACTCAAAAGGCTAAAAATGCTCAAACAAACCTCACAACAAATTGAAAAAATTCGCAACAATTTAAAACCATTTTTAGTTGATTCTTCGTTAAAAATCTTCTTGCCACATCGCACGCTTACAGTGCTGCCGCCATTATGGATTGTCCAATGTTTTGCGCATGCGCTCGCAATTTCCACTATGTCTGTTGAGCAGGTTTGAGAAATTAGGCGCGTAGTTAGGAGCCAGGAATTATTCTAAGAAATATTCTCAACACCACAGATTCAATGACTGGTACCTTTTTGTTAAACTTTTGAATTTACTTGTGAGAAAAAACCAAAAACAACGGTAGTATTAGAGCCACTGACCACAAAATAAGTCTTTCCTTTGACTTCAGTGTTGGCATTGGCATTGTAAACGGTAATTGGTGAGGGGATATAGAGGATGGTGTGTTTTTACCCCATAAAGAAGCAAATACTCATAATCTAGTAAAACTCGGCCGAATAACAGGGCACAACCCCCTAGTAGAATCTATGCACATGAATGGTTGGAATTGAGAAACCTTAAAAACCCCGTTAGACAAATAAACATGCAAAATGCACGATAAAATATGCCTGGATCCAGAACTGGCATTACAGTATCAAGATGTGTTATTCTACGAATGCTACAATGAAAAATGCGAAACTGGCCTATTTGGTTATGCCTCTCAACATCAATAAATGTGTATATCCGTATTTTATGCGAGCATTGGCTAGGGTGCTAGCTGCAGTGCCACACTCGTGGGATATTTGGAGTCTCATAAGTGCATGAATAATCTTGAAAAAATCAACGTGAAGTAGAATCATCATTATATCATTATCGGTACCTCACAAAATCTGTACCTACATGTGCGTTTTAATTTGCCAGTGCTCAAAATGTGGGTTTACCTTTGAGAAAAAATGTGGGTTTTCCCCAAGGGGGTTTACCTTGTAGAAAAATACAGGGTTGTGCCTTCCGCAGTAATTTTTTTGACCCTGTTCTGGAAAAGTTTCTGTAAACATGAAACCTCTCCTGGAATAAAAGCTTTAATTTCAAATTTGAGCTATAAGTGAAGAAAGCAATAGAGTGGACAACGATTTAATTTTAATGACAAATCTGACCTTTTCTGGAAAAAGTTTCTTTGATGGGAAAACCTCCGTCACAAAAACTATTTTCAGCTAAAAATTGGACTCTTTTGGCAGGAACAAATCCTGAGTCGCTTGTCGAAATGTCGCTTTAATTCTTTGATATAAGGTAAAAACTAAGAGAGAAAGGGAAAGGCAGCATTGGCTTCAAGGGGTCTACACGTATGCAGAAAGTGTTAATCTTAGACAAACTACACTGAAAAATGAAGAGTCAAGATCAAAAGTAAAAATGTTTTAAGATCCAGGACTGGCTGACTATTTACTATAATTCTTCTGTTGTGTTTCGTTTTTTTGGGTGGAAATTCTTATAGTTTTAACAAACGATTTCTTCTATTTTGCGATAAATTTCTCCCAGAGGGTCGATTTTTTACAACACCAAAAAATTAAAATCACAACATCACAAATCAAATTCACAACCCCACAAAACGGTAACAAAACCACGTTAAAATAACCCTGTTAGGAGCGAAAAGAAAAGAGCGTAATTAGGAGACCAGTTTGCAATACCAGTACCTAACCTGTTTGTCTTGTTGTCGATGTGGAGGAGTATTAGAATTTAATGCCCTGTCGCCCTGTATTAAAGGTAACAGGTAATTTTTGGGATTGAATTTCAATTTCATAGGGTTCAGTCATTCCTTCACTTGCGGTTATTTTTTTTAACGTCGTCTGTATTTACTGAGGGACAATGAACAGTCAGATCGACAGATTACCTGCAGATGTGCCGATCTCCCATGATCCCGGTGACAGGGAAGAAGAAGATAAATCTTTTGAAGTGCTAAGTGCGAACATCTGTACAGAAATCATTCCACCTGATACATGCCATGATTGTAAACATACGACATCAGTTGAAGATCAAGAAGAATCATTTTCTACAAGAAAGCTTTCGATCAAAGTGATTGCACAGCCTGAAGAGCGCCAGTCTTCACCGATAATCTCTGAGCGAGTAACTTTGCAGCGGACTTCGTCGTGGCAAGGAGATATAGACAGAAGGACAAAGATATTCGAAAGTTGCAAAGTGAAAAGTCCAATTGATATTGCAGAAAGTCCTACAATGACGACAAAGAATCATTTCTCATCGATCAACGATGCTTTAGAAGAGATGAAAAAAGATGCTGGGAAAAAATTTGATTCCATTACAAGACACCAGACCGTACCTGATCCTTTTCAATTTCCACATAGGCCAATTGAGCAAATAACATTGCTGAATAGCGAAGTCGAGCTAGAAAGACAATCGGCGAAAAGAAAACAAACATTGAAGAGGCCTTTGAATTCAGAAGGTGATAATTCAACCCTCGAATTGAACAATGAGCCGCGAGAAGCAAAGCTAAGGCAAACATCTTTGCCGGAATTCCACAAACTCTCGTTTGAAGGGGAAAATGTATCTGGGGTATTGTCTGAAATTTACATTTATTTGTATCAGGTTTCAAATTTGAGTTGTGTTTCACAGCATTGCATCGCCGAAATAAGATCATAGGTGAAAAATTTGGTACTGTATTGAGAGTGAAACCCGCTCCTTCAATAAAGCACAGCTACCTGCAAACTGTGATATGTATTTGCATATGAAAATTCACTGGCATGTTTAATTCTAAACCTAATAATCCATCACCTCAATTTAGTAAATTTTCAGTTTCAATTGAAAATGGATGAGATCACAGCAAGGGGAGGGCTACTGAGAATAAATTTGTCTGTATTTGTTGTCACTGTAATTTTAACATAAATGCAGTGCAGAGTTTAATGGTTCATTGTATAAATTTTGTCCATTATAAAGTGAATGGAAATAGTGATGAGAGAAAAGTGGTTGAAAGTCCCAAGGACATTTGAATGGAAAATTTAAAAATATTGGCAAAAAGGATATGGCGCCTTACAAATTTAAAAAAAGATGGCAGAGAAAGGGGAGATATCACCACCCCCAATCCTCTAGCCACACAACTGAAATAACTGATTATACAGTGGCAGGGATTATGTGGGTATGGGGGCTCAAGCCCCCCTAATCAGAGATCTTGTCAAACAAAATCTGTTTTCAAAGGTATTTCCCACTGAAGAAAACAAGATTAAATGCAGAAAATGAAGGTTACAATTACTAGGCAATAGTCTAATCGGTCTAACTCTTCTTTATCAATTGCCTTAGATGAGATCATTAATGGATTGTTTGTATGGATTGGGTGTGGTCAACAATGATGTCTTAAGGGTCCCACCAAAAAATCACCTATTTTCATTAAAATGTGCAGTGATAAAGTTTCTGTAAAGTTCCAAGATGTTATCTTCTTGATAGGCCTGAACTGAGCGAAATGAAAGCCTGAATTTCTGCCACTGATTATATATGTGTATAAGATAAATTTTTATACCTTGAACTATTTTCCAACCCTAATATAATGCAGCAGGTACAGATAATGTTCACCTATTTGAATAGAAATTATCAACTAATTTTTGGATTCTTGTCCCCTGTGCCAACTTTATCATAAACAGGGGGTCAGACTGTATTTGATAATTTTCATCCTTTATTCTGCTATGCATTATCAAGAATCTGCTATTGATATATGCTTCCCACAAGTATTCCACCATTTAACATTTTGGTACCAAGAATACAAAGAAGCCAAGAAAACAATATCTCTTTTAAAGTCTTTACAAATTCTGCAAATTGTGCAAGCATAAGTCAATAGACTAATATTATACACAAACTTTACAGCAGATTCTTGATAATGCATAGCTTTGTATTTGGTATTTTGTCACAACACCTGTGTCAGGGGTTGTAGGTAAATTCAGTGTAGCGATAGCAAGCTTTAAGACTCCGTGTTTTCTGGCTCCATCATCTCTCTATAAATCTTAATTGAACATACTGATTAACCTGGTTGTATAATCACATTGCAGGTCCCTACTGATGAGCTGCGCCAAGCCTCTCAACTTCTTTGTGAAGCATTATTTATCAGAGCCAAGTACATGGCATTAAGCATGCAGAATTTCTGCCCAACCACTGCCAAATGCATTCAAGAAGTCAGCAAGGATTACAATCTTAGCAGTTTGTTAGATAAAAAGGAAGACAGCAACTGTATAAATGATAGAGGTAAACTGTGTTTTATAGTTTAATTAATCTAATTTATAATATCAATAAATATTTAGGATTGCCATTATATCATATTTTTTTTATTTTGTCATGTTTCAAGCTTGAGCTTTTTCTCCAGGCTTGCTTGAACCATAGCTTCTTTGGTTGTAGTTTGGCAGAAAACCTTATTATATAATATAAGTAAACCTTACATATTATATGATTATATCAGAATTTTCCTTTGATGCATTTTGGTTTTAAATTTCAATAGTAAGCAAACATTTTGACAAGCTAGTTTAATCTGATACAGTTAGCTCAAAGAATGAGAAGCCTTGCAATTTTAAATACCCCACAAGAGCCTCATATGCTCGTGATTAACTTGAATGCAGCCAAGCACACATTGCCCATAAACAACATCCCATTAAAGACAATTTATGCCCTGTCAGTCAACCATTCAGAGCTAGCAATAGCCTTTGTGGCACATTTTTTATTTAGGAAATATTGTAAGTTAGCCTTCTGTTGCCGATTGGATATGTAACAATAGGTCTTTTGTGTAGTCCAACCAATGAGAAATTCTGTAATGTTCAGTTTCAATGAACAAATTAGCCTGCAACCTTGTCCAGTACAGGGACGTAAACACGTGGCTAATTTTAGGGGATCGTGGAAGGTTGAAAATTCCAACTTTACCTGATGAATTTTTTCTTTTGATCTGTTAATCTTCTGTACCTACTAAATTGATTTTTGGAAATAGCCTTATGGCTTATTCCAGATTTCTAAGTTCTGTATAATTACTAACATTTTATTTATAATAATTAGTCTTAAGGACAAAAGCACTAAAGAAGGTAAAAGAAATCTCTAAATTTTGATTAACGTAAAACGTACATATAATCTTTTCGTAAGATGTAAAGCAACATCAAAGCCATACCAGTCTAGATCTTTGGTATGTTTAATGATAAAAATTAATATTCTTTCAAGTCAATTAACAGCAATTCTGTTCTTTTTCTGCTTTACCCATCGTAAAGCTATTTGCTGCAGATCAGTTTTATATAAAATATCTTTTTCACAATATAGAAGCATCAAAGAATTTACCATTTCATCTTTTGTTCTTGATGAAATAAAAATTTTTACAATTTTTTAAAGGGCTAAATGTCCTTTGCTTTTTGGAACTGAAAAGGGTGATTTGAGGGCAAGTGCATATGCCTGATTCGTAAGATAAAACACTCGTCTTTGATCTAATTCTTCTGCTACTGCTTCTTTGATCAATGTTTTGCGGCTTCTCATCACCTTTATCATATCAATTTATGATAAGATTTAAGGAGGTCTACAAAATGCAGGGGGAATTTAGCATACACCTGTTAAGAAGCGTTGAGAATTTCTAGCAATGAAAGATTTGTAATGTTTTCAATTGAATTGGCTACCTGCTGTTTCTTAAAAAATTCCCACTTTCAATTGTTCCGATCAATAGATACAGGGAACGATTTTTCAAAACTTCAGGCTCAATCAATACTGACGGTAAAATTTAAACTTCTTATCCAGAAATTCACCTTGCCTGTTTAAAATAATCTAATTCAAGTTAACCCCTGTCAAAAAGGAAACAAACAATGCAATGGTGCAATTTGAGATCCAGCAGAGACAGGGATTCACAATTAAAAACAATTAGAAGATGTGCCTGCTCCAGAGTTTGAATTTTATTAAGGTCTAAGATTTTTACTTTCAAAATCCCAAAATCCTAAGCTATAAAATTCACACATTTGGTCATAATAGTTTGAAAAAATTCCAAGTGAACTTTTAAGTTTTCCAACTACAATTGGATTTTTCAACCTTTGGGGGGCGTCATGCCCCCCACGCCCCCCTATTTTTTACGTGCCTGGTCCAGTATCCTTTTTTTACAGAGAATTAAATATGCAAATTATATGCATTTATATAGAAGATTTTAAACACTTTTTCCTTTATGCTTGTAGTGATGTGTGCATTTCAAGAGTCAGAGCATTTAAAAGCTGATGGATCCAAATGGATGCCATTTCATGGAGAAATACCAGGTGACAGTGGCTATACATTTGAGATGGTTGATGGCGTGTTTCAAGTGACAGGGTGTAGAAGAAGTATTGATGGTGAGCCTAATAAAAAACAGAAGCCTGTTATCCACCCATTTCCGTGCATTGAGGAATTCTTGGATGATCAAAATGTTCTCTTAGCTCTATCAACTCATGGCCCAGTGTAAGTGATATTTGCATAAACTTCATTTGTAAACAGTATATTGTTTTCAAAGATTACCATGTTTAAGCATCTGCATTGAAACTGAACATTAAAGTTTGGTTTTATCATTCGAAAAAGCCTCACAAACAATGTGATGTGCAACTACTAGCTTTCAAACAAATAGATAACATTTGACTTTGAATTTGTATTGTGAACCAGCCAAATAGTGTTAGCACACTGATACATACTGATGATGGTGGTATAGTTAGAACTCTAAAATTTTCTGGGAAAATAGTCATTATATTGAAGAGGGCAACGTTACAGAGTGTAGTTAAAAACAGATTCTTGTTAAGAAAACTATATGCTTTGTCATATTTTTTAATTTATGGGAGATTGCTGTAAATATTTCTCATTTTTGTATACAGGAAATCATTTTCATATAGAAGGCTGCAGTTCTTGGAGTCAAAGTTCAAGCTACATATTTTGTTAAATGAAATGAAAGAGCTTGCTGCTCAAAAAGACATCCCCCATAGAGATTTTTATAATGTCAGAAAGGTACCCTTTTTCCCTTTCAACTCAAAACTACATTTTGTATATTTGACTATTTTTAAGTGGCATCTAAATGACATTCACAGCCTTTTTTAAAATTCCATTAAAAATTTGCAAAAATTTGTTCCTTAAATATGTTTTTAAATATCACATCTATATATACACAAGTTTATATGCCTTTAGTTGTATAGGAGGAGCTCTCTTTAAGTGATATCTCAATGGCAATTAAGGGTAGCAGATATGATTTGCAGTCAATGAGACTGTCTGTTCGAAATTTTTATTGATTTTGCTTCTTCAAGGGCTTTAAAACACTTGTAATGGATTTTATCATGCTGCACAACATTATTTTTTTCATTTAGGTTGACACTCACGTACATGCAGCCTCCTGTATGAACCAAAAGCATTTGCTTAGGTTCATCAAAAAGAAAGCAAAAAAATTTGGTGATGAGGTTGTTTTTAAAAAGACTGATCAGGCCCAAACGTTAAATGATGTATGTGTCCTTGTTTTTCATTTTAAATTGGAATTTATTGAGGGTCTGAAATTGCAGACTGGTTAAAAATTTTGCTGTGTTAGGTGTTTTGTTCTTATTTATGTAGAAATTGAAAGCTAGTAAAATTTTATTGTATTATCACATTGAGCAACCATAAATATGCAAGAAGGTGTTTTATCCCTCCTGCAGTTTTCATTGAGGCCCTCAATTTGCCTTGATAATGGCTACGTTTAGAATTTTAGATTGGTCTAGTCTAGAGAGACAAAAAATAACTAGAGAGACTAGCACAGGTTTCACTGTGTATCTCTCATGTAATGACTTTAATAGAGTGATTACCAGACTTGCTAGTATTGGATTACCAGACTACCAACTTTATAGTATTTGATAGTATTTGATAGTATTTCATTCTTCAGTCAGTATTTCAAGACAACTGGGTCAAAAACCTGCCTGATTGTTGGTGGCTTTGAAAAATGGTGTCAAAAAGCCACATAGGTGTATTCAGGATCTAATCGAATGTAGATTTTACTGTAAGCTTAGCCATTTTCTTGACTATCAGATTATTTTATAGGTGTTTAAGGTGCTGGATCTCTCTCCTTACGACCTAAGTGTTGACAGCCTGGATGTCCATGCGGTATGTTGTGTACTTTTGAGTTTATCATGATTCTTTCATCTTTTGAAGTCACTTAATGCAAATGATCCTAACATGCAATTGTCTTGCTTTTTTGAGCAGCATATACTCTAAATAATTTGCATATTTGTGTTTTTCTTTTCTCAGGATCGCAACACGTTCCATCGTTTTGATAAGTTCAATTCAAAGTACAACCCTGTTGGTAAGATTCTTATTTTTAAATAATTTGACCTTATTATCACTTGTAATAATTTTCCTCATAAGTAGCTACAAACTGCTCTATGATTTCTTAGATTGATTATCCTTTTGTAATCAATTATCCTTTTGTATCAAGGTATTCATTTCTCTTGTCACAACATGTCTATTTGTATTTATTGTTATGTCAGATTGCCTTTGTTTATTGTCAAGCTAATTTTCGGACAGATTGTTAAGTTCTCTTGTTTTTTAATCTTCATATTCCATGCCCATATTTACTTTTCCTTACTTAGCTTGCCATCTTTTAATTAATTTTTGCTCTCTTTAACATTATAGGCCAGAGTCACCTTCGTGAAGTCTTTCTCAAGACGGATAACTTCATCAAAGGGAAATACTTTGCGGAACTGATCAAGGTAACTAATCCATTTCTTGAATCAAAGTTTTGTTCGCTCGTGATTTCTGGATTAGCAGCAGAATTTGAAGCAGAATCGATATCTTCTGTCTAGCAAACCTAATTGTAACAGGAGAAGACCCTTGGAATTCCCGTGCTAAAGGCGGCATGAATGCTTACGGTTCTCTGACAGTTCTTTAATATGGCAGAACTATGATTTGTGGCAACTCCAGTGCATCTCTTTGTATCTAAACCTGTTTATAGACCCTTGGATTCACCATGCTCATCGCCATCTATATCTGAATTATTAACCATGAAAACATGTGTCTTTTTTGTTTTTTTGTTTAATCAAAAGTGAGTTTGGGTAGTATGGAGAGTTGCAACATTCAATGCATATTCTTATTTTACTTAATTTCTTTGAGTAAGTGCTAAAGTTAGTTGTATTTTGTTCTCCAAAGGAAGTTGGTTCTGATCTGGAAGAGAGTAAATACCAGATGGCAGAGCTCCGGATTTCTATTTATGGACGAAGCAAAGATGAATGGGACAAATTGGCAAAATGGGCGGTAAAGCACGATGTTTATTCCTACAACATTCGTTGGCTAATTCAGATTCCACGATTGTAGTAAGTGATACTTGTTCCAAACTTCTTTAATTTTATATTGTTCTGGCTATCTTTTCAAAAACACGGGGGGAACGGTTTAACTACAGTATCATTGTCACATGGCTTAAAAATCGTTTGGTAATACATTTAAGACAAACAAGAACGCAAGCTTTCAAGTTGAGCTTTTTTCCAGCTGCTTATTTTAATGGGAAAAGCTCGACCCTGAGATTAACCAATTCAGATCTGTAAATATATTAAAAAAACAACTATTGTCAGTTATCCATCCACCACCAAAGCCTATCGTTCTAATCAATCAAGCTTTTTATGAAATTCAATTTTTTTGACAGTGACATCTACCGTTCCAAGAACCAAATTCAGAACTTCGAGCAAATTCTGGACAATCTTTTCCGGCCGCTTTTTGAGGTTACTGTCAATCCACAGTCTCACCCAGAACTTCACAAATTCCTTGCCCAGGTATGATTTCAATCTTTTTTAAAATCTTGAGCTAATAATGGAATGATAAGCATAAGATGGACACCATAATCGTATACAATATAGTGTAATCCTGATAGGGTGAACCCCCCGATAACTCGATTGTTTTTACATTCTCTTCTTGAACCTTTCCCGAATACGCTCGAACCCCCGAAAGCGCGAACATTTGTTAACTCAAACCATTTTCATCTTCCAGTTGGAGGTTCCAGTTATCGGGAACTGGCAATCGTTTTAATTGTAAATTATGGAAAACTATCTGTAGTAATCTGAAGGCCTCAGTCATTTTAATAGATATTCTATAAGTATTTTTGCAAATTTCAATGTAGCATTTGCACCTGTCAGTGAAGATGAATTCGCTTCTATAACTTTTTAGGTGATTGGATTCGACAGCGTTGATGATGAAAGCAAACCGGAAGACATAATGTTTAACAAATTCTGCCCGAAGCCTGCCTCATGGGTGGCACAGAGCAATCCTCCATATGCTTACTATCTCTATTACATTTACTCAAATATGGTCGTGCTAAACCATCTCAGACGGTTAGTTTTTACTGTTACTCTTTAGTTATGCCTTTGATGCTTCATGGCGATTCACTGTATAAACAACTTATTTTGGTTCGAACGCAGTCTGAGAGTGGGAAAATGATTACGTCATATAAGCATATTTTAGAATTCGGAGAACACAACCTAAATGAACATCATGGAATTCCTCGAAACGTGCATAATCAGCTAGCTTTGTTCCGGACTGCCTGAGATGTTGCCACACGTGCACAGGCTCTTTTCCAATCAAATCAATGTAATTTTGCCCTGATTTTAAAAATTATGAACCAGGCCAAAAGAAAAATATTCAGTTGGCAAAAGCTCGGTTCTTCCGCTTACCATACCACAGGAAATCTGTAACAGATTAACTGCATTCGAACCCCTATGGGTCTTTGTATTTTGCGCAATTATTATCGTACCTCAAGTTTTTTAAAGCTATATTATTTGTCATCTTTGTAAACTTGTTTCGAAAAAAGTTATTCTGTCGTCAGGAATTTTTGCATTCTCTGTATATTTTATTTCTTGCCATTATTTATGAAACGTTTATTCAATGTCGCTTCATGATTTTTGGCTTCGTCATAAGGTTTTCCCACTCTAGTTTTCTAAGCTTCTTATTTTACAACGTTTTATTCTCTGTTTTCGTTTAAAATACTGTCTCTAGTTTCTCAAGAAATTAGTAGTTTAAATGTGTTGTTTCACATGTGAAGGTGAACATAATAATTTTAGTGAATCAATTTGAGTAATTGAGAATCCATTTTATGTGACAGTGAGAGGGGCTTCAACATCTTCAACCTTCGTCCACATTGTGGTGAGGCAGGCCCAGTTCACCATCTTGTCACCGCATTTATGCTCGCTGAAAACATTTCACATGGACTTCTACTCCGAAAGGTATCAAAATAAACTACATAGGATGAAGGATTGAAAACGATTCTACGTTCTTCATGACTTTTTTGTGCAAAATTACGCTTCGCTAAAGCTAGTTTTTCTCTTGCACAAACTGAATTTTTTGATAATTTGGCAAAGAGTTTAAAAATGATATGTTTCTTTATTCTTTTTCGACTTTTACTGTTTCACTAAGTTTGTTTTAATGTTTTCCATCCACATTTTACATTTGCTACAATGGAAGATTCTTGCTGGGAAAATTTTCTTTGTGAAGGCAGAAACACGTTTCTAAAATGTTCAAAGAATTGATGTAAAGGGAGATTCAAATTGATATCTGAGAATAAAGATCTTTAATAGATATTAGCAGCATCTAAATTGAATATTGATAGGAATAATAGTTGTGCTTTCGTGGTAAAAACTTCAACTTTGTTTAGAATTTTTATTTCTACTGTATCCAGTCACGCAGCTTATTTTTGCATTGAATTAGACATCGATGTTTCAAGATTTACGGTTTGAGTTTTAACTTTTTCTGTTGTTATTGCTTCTATTTCTTTCCGTACTTCCATGTAATAAAGTACAATCAAATAATCTGCAGATTCCAGCACTGCAATACCTCTACTACCTTGCACAAATTGGCATCGCAATGTCACCACTAAGCAACAACTCACTGTTTCTGAACTACCATCGCAACCCACTTCCGGAATATCACGCAAGAGGCCTACTTGTTTCCATATCCACCGATGATCCGTTGCAGTTCCATTTCACAAAGGTTTGTTTCTCAAAATGTTTCTACCAATTAGTTACATTTACTTTCAATTTTCCAAACCATCAACTTGTCCTTCTTCCTCTTTGCTTCAATTGTGGATTTTTTTCTCATATGCAAACAATTTTTTGTTACGATTTAATTTAACAATCAGTTTTGAACAACTGACTTTGAGCTGTGTGGTGCATTTGTACGATAAGAAAGATTCAATGCTTAAAGATCTCCTCTTTGACTCTAAAATCTTCCCGACAGTTCTGCGATTTACAACGCCAGACAATCACCAACGGGGTGAAGGGCCAAGTCAACGATCACGATACCTTTCCAATTCTACTTTTACCACACCAGGCTATTTGAAAAAGGTGGAAGAGGGCTGTTATACACATTTATAAACGATTTGATATGCTAAATTATGATAAGATAATTTCAGCGATTTATGACGTCCAACATCAGATAAAGAGAATTTTCATAGCGAACGTGATGTATTCTTGCTTTTTAGGAACCCTTGATGGAAGAGTACAGCATTGTGGCGCAGGTTTGGAAGTTCAGTCAAACCGATATGTGTGAACTTGCCCGAAACAGCGTCTTAATGAGTGGCTTTGAGCAAAAGGTTTGTGCACTTGATCCTTGAACAGCCGGGGCATTTCACTGTATATTTTTTTCTAGCATTTATTAAGTTGCTTCTTATAAAGAAAAAATTGTTTTAGCAAAGTTTAAGAAACTGTCACCTTTTGCCAGTGGTGTAGTGCTATCGAAATGACAAGGGGACTCTTGCACAAAATGTTGCGAACAACAGTAGCAAAAGTAGAATTTGCCAATTTTCGGCATCAGCAAGGGGGGTGGGTTCAGCCCCCTAGTACTACACCCCTGCTTAATACTAATCGAAAAAATATCTCCTTTGTTTTTGGTATGGTTCCATTACCAAAAAAAGTATACTGGGATACTTATGTTGTAATATACAACGTGACGGATACTTTGACTTAACCGTGTACTGAATATTGTTTCGCAAATTGTTTCCATTAGCCCGCGGATGTTGCCCACTCTATCGAGTCCCTTCAGGCATGGTCAGTATTTAGTATGTTACATGTTAGTTTTTTATGCTGTTTTCATTTCAGGTAAAGCAACATTGGCTAGGTGAGCATTTGCAAGAGCAAGGGCATTTTGGGAACGATATTGCGAAGACAAATGTCCCGGATATTCGTGTGTCATTCCGTCATGAAACCTTACTGGAAGAGCTCAGAATTCTGGAGTCTGGGGCCAAAGATGCCCAAAGTCCTAAGTAGTTGCTAGATTCGTGTAAATTATATCAATAGGTTGAACATTTATGGTTTGGGAGCGGTTATTGAATATTAGGATTTATGTTTTAGGCTAGAGTAATACGTTAAGAGTTTATCGGGCTTATAGAATCATGAAATGTAACAAGTATATACATATACATTTGTTTATGTCAAGTATGTTGTTATAAAAAGAAAATTTGTATTGCTAGTTCTAGGAATGCATTAAATTTAATTTTGAATTTCTCATCTTCTCATTCTGGATTAATTAAGAAACGGTAGTACTGGATTAATGTTTTCTTAAATGTAAAGCACGAGTAACTGGGTTGCAAGAAAAGGTGGAAGGCAAGCTGAATACAGAATTGTGAAAGGTTATTTTGATGAGAACTTCCCCTGTTACAAGTTTAACTATGACGGGTTTCTTATTATATTGTTGAAAGACAATAAAAATTTATCTTAAAGCCTTTAATGATGAATTATGTTAATTATGAATTATATGTTATATTATTAACTGGTTGTATTAGCGAATTTGACTCAATTATGTTCGATAATATCTACCGGTTCTCGATCATAACGATGATCTTTCGTTATTCTGCGAGCCAGGTTGGTCAACATATTGTAAACATACATCTTTGATCGAGTGTTGCTCGTTAAAACGACTGGTGTGATGCCGAGAATGCAGAAAGACTATTAACTTTGAGGAAACATTTAACAAAAATTTTGGTTGGTACCCATTTTCGTGGCTTGTTCTGGGACCGAAGGCTTTGTATGTTAAAATGTGCGAGTTCATCTGTTAAGCTAGCATTCCTGGTTATAACAACTGTAGAATAAATTGCATAACAAGCAAGCCCAGCTTAATATATTAAAGCAATTTACAATAGGGAATGGATAACGATCAGGACAACTCGAACGTTTCCTTTCAAATGCTAATAAAATAAACGGTTCAGCTTCGAGGATTTTAGCACCCTATTTACACCCACGCTCGCAAAAACCTTTTCAAAGTTGGACATGGGCACATTTAATAGAGGTGCCCCATGTTGTTAAAAAGGTACTTTTTCAGAGAGGTTGTTTCTTAAGTAAGGGTATTTCCCAAAAAGTTGGGGGCACATTACTATGGTGCACCCCAGGAGCGATGTCCCTGTTTGCACCCTAACTTTTGGGTTTGTGTTGATGAACTCATCATAAGCTAGCAGGAGATTGCAGCTACACCAGTTTTTTCGAATAAAAAAGAAAAATTTATAAAACAGCAGTTGTAATACGCATGAAAGACACAAGTGCTGGATGGAATATGAGAGAACATAAGCTTCGGTTTATAAGAATAAATACGAGCTAAAAACAGTATTACTAAAATATTTAAAAATAGCAATGCCAATATAATAAAATACTGTGATACAATTTTTTTGACTAGATATACATTATCAATCTCGATTTTTACATTAATCATTCTCAACAAAGGTGCAAAAATAATTAGAGCACGGTGATGTAGTTCTTGAAAATGTTCTAAGAAAAAGAAAAGTCTACATTTTTGCTTTATATTGTTGCAGTGTTGCAAATGGAATGTTTGCTGCAAAATAACTAACGAGCGGTAGTATATTTTCTTCAAATTAGGCTTTGGGCTCTGGTTCGCTGTTACATAAAATTGGTTTCCTTGGGTAAAAACACTAAAATTTTGAAGGGGCATAACATAGGGGAACTAGCCGACGTGGAGCCACAAAGAAGTACGCTAAAAGAATTTGTTGGTGCGTAGGGAAATCGGCCTTGATGCTCTAGGTGCCCTTGATTTCATTTTGGTATCATCAATAGCAAAACAGTTTTCAAAAACACTTCACCACTTACTCGGAAAGGCCCACTTGCTTATTCAGAAAAATAGTACCTGTTTTTAATGACTCGGTACTTCAGTCGAAAAATCGAGGTATTGTCGAAATATTTTTAGGAACTTAGTGCAATAAATAAGAAGTTATAAAATAAATCAAAACAAGAGAATCGCACAAAATGTTATATAAAAATTGAAATAAATATTATCAGGAAAAGGAAAAGTGATTCAATAGAAGGAACAAAAATAACTTAAATAAGAGCCTAAAAAGTAGTTTTTCCTATAAAGGAAGGTCACTGGAACCTTAAAGATAAATCTATATAAAAATTATGATATCATCTACACAATTTCATGCACGACTGCAAATGATATCAAGTTCTTCGAGCAGAGTCTCGTGTCTATAAGATATTCTGATGTCAGGAACATTTGATTTCGACATGTCGTTGCCTGCAGGGCCATCCAAAAAGAAATTCTCACCAAGCCAGTGGGCTTTCACCTAGTATTGAGAAAGAATTTTATCATGAGTGAGAAGGGGCTTTGAGGCCCTCGATGATTTGCAACTGTTAGCAAAGCGAGAAAGACTGAAGAAGGAATAGCAACAATCTACAGGGTATGCTAGTAACATTCTCAAAGTGATGGGGAAAGGGGCTGGATAGTGTCAACTAATCAATAAGAAACGACCAAACAGAACATAAGCGGGTAACACCAAAATATGCATGAATTAGGGTACCCCGTATGCTTATATGCCCCTAAAACATCTATTGACTGGTCTATTAAATGGTTCCCAAAAAGCCTAAGTGAAAAGTAACGACAAAAGAAAAAAGATAATTTCTTATAGGAAATTTTATTATTTCTGTATTACGTTGCATTCCTATTCAACTAATATTTATTGTATTTTTGTATACTATCTTTTACAGTGTTTTAAATTCAAGCGTTATATATGAATGCTATGCGACAAATACACTAATGTAAAAAGGGAATGTAATTTCAATTGTTTTTACTTACAAACGCTAAGCATTGTGTTGTGAGGTAATTAGGGGAACAATTCATCTGATGCAAGCAGTTCAAAACTGATACAGATAGAATTTTCAATTTGGCAATACTGAAAACAGCATTTATATTCTCACCTGATTCTCAAATCCACTCATGAGTACGCTGTTTCTCGCTAATTCGCACATATCCGTTTGACTTAGCTTCCAAACTTGGGCAGCAATACTGTATTCCTCCATAAGAGGCTCCTTGAAAAACAAACAAGCAGCTTGAAGCATAAAGTTTAAGAGAAACATTTAGCATGAACTCAGAGTAGCAACTAAGAAAACTAAGAACCGTCCTATTCTATATATCAAAAGCGCAAAGTTTAAGAAATACAAGCTCTTCTTTACTTTTGAGACACCAACCTCAAGCTTTATGAATATTATCGAGTGTTTTTCGCTTCAAGCTTTTGCTTGTAATAAATCTCCAAATAGTGTTGAAGATAGAAAAGACCTAACTCATAGACTTTTCTAACTTTTGAAAAGTATTGTACAGAAGCCATTCCATCATGTTCTAGGCCAATACCACACAGAGTACATTTTACTGGAAACAAAATGGTGTCCTAGCAGGCAAGACTTCCATCAGAAAACTGAATTTAGCTGACTCAAAGCCGAACATGCTCTCAGAAGTTCCTACCTTTGTAAAATGGAACTGCAAAGGGTCATCTGTCGATATAGAAACTTGAAGCCCACGTGCTAGGTACTCCGGAAGAGGATTGCGATGGTAGTTCAAAAACAGTGAGTTGTTGCTTAGTGGTGACATTGCGATGCCAATTTGTGCAAGGTAGTAGAGGTATTGCAATGCTGGAATCTGCAAGCAATGTTGAGATACTATTAAAACATGGGATTAAGGGGAAAAACAAATCCATTCTTGCAACAAATTCCAGTTTTTCACTTTTATTGTCACAAACATGAAACTTATTATCTACAATACACAACAAACATAATTTAATAGAGAGTGGTTTGATGAAGATACCGAACTGAATACAAACTCAATACCATTCTTTTGAATATAAAACTTTTAAGTAATAACTTGAAATACCGCAAAGAAGCAGTACACCAAAGAAATTTAAAGAAGGCGCATACATCAGGTATTTACAAACCTTCCTTAGTAGAAGACCGTGAGAAATATTTTCTGCCAACATGAAGGCTGTGACCAAATGATGGACTGGCCCAGCCTCGCCACAATGTGGCCTCAAACTGAAGAAGTTGAAGCCTCGCTCTCTATGTAAAAAAAGTACAACAACAATCAATGATAACGACACGAACTTCGCTTGATTTTGTCTTCAGTAAAGATTATATACGCTATGGATACTTCAATGCAAAAAATGTCTCATATTACTGCGCTTAATTGCAGCTAATATACACCAGTGTTTACTTGCATCTGAACAAAAACAAATCTCACTTTCTCAAATGGTTGAGCACGACTATGTTGGAGTACATGAAATAGAGGTAATAAGCATATGGCGGGTTCTTTTCTGATGTCCAGGCCTTTGGCCGCGGTGTTGATTGTGAGAATACAATGTCCTCTGGTTTGCTTTCGTCATCCACACTGTCGAATCCAATCACCTGCAAACAATGTATGAATACAACAGTAACCGTATACATCCATTCATGTAAAACAAATATACCCTTAACAACTGAGCACTTGATGATGGGGGTATGGAAATGATCAAAATAATGATTTTGGACAGGATGTTAAAACAAGAAAAGTAATTTTCTATTATTATCAATTATTATCAAGGTATTATCAATTTCTCAACAATCTATAAGCGTGAAATTGGGTTTTAGCCAGAGGTCCAAAGAATATTAAAACAATAAATAAGTGGTGATAATAATAAAATCAAACAGTGGACAAGAAATTGATCACTATCGTGATGAAGCCAAATAAAACAGGTTTTTCGCTTTATCGAAGTGATAAACTATAAGCAATTTATTGAAAGCACAATAATCAAATATATCTAAAGACTATTCCAGAGGGCGATTTCACAAGATATGCGTTAATTAAAGCTACACCTGACCTCAAGAAAGGTTCTTAGTAAGAACAATAATAGGAAAAACGATATGAAATGATACATGATGTAAATGCGGTTAAAACATTATGCAGAGAAAATAGTTAACAGCTAAAATAAAACAGTTTCAAAACGAACAAGCAATTTGCAACAGGATGATTATTTACTTATATTAAATAGACACGTTTGAGCCCAGTCGAATATTTGCAAGTGAAATAAAATATCAACTAGGATGCAACGAAAAATGCAGGATTCAATGAACTTTTTCTACTAGTTATATAACTGTTTAAACTGTAGCTAGGAGATAAAAATAAACCTGCATACATATTGATTCAGTGTCTTAGTTCCTAACCAACTAGCTACGAAATGCAAACTTCAACCTTAAATTATGTGATCCAACTACAACAACATTTCAATAAACTGCTACCACCTTATCCTTGTAATGTAATTAAAGGCTTTTTAATAAGCTTAGGTTGAAATTCAAGCCGACAAACCTGTTTTAGAAATTGATGCAATTCTGGATGCGTCTGTGGATCAATGGTAACTTCGAACAAGGGCCTGAAGATATTATCAAGGAGTTCCTCAAAATTCTTTAGCATCCCTTTCAATCGATAAATATCGCTTAAAAGAATAAAGAAGCAAGTTAAATATAATATTTTGAAGCAACTAAATTTTAGAAAGCACATTATGTGCTACTGCATTCTTTTGAGGTTGTACAAACAATTTCTACCATTAACACATTGTTAAAACATTCTACTCGAAGTCTTCTGTGTACACATTGTACTCGAAACATTGTTCTCAAAGTGAGAAATACCCTTAATTATGTGTATCTAAATTCTACGGGGCAAAGGGGATAGGAAATAAAGAATATGGGTGCTTAAGAAAGAATCAGTCACTCACTAGAGCCTAGGAACTTGAATGAGCCATCTGACATTGTACGAGTAAACATTGTGGGCAATCGCCCATTTTGCTAACTTGTCCCATTCATCTTTGCTACGGCCATAAATGGAAACTCGAAGCTCCACCATTTGATACTTGCTGAACTCCAAATCAGATAGAACTTCCTATTAGAACAAGGAAATATCTCAACTAAAACTCAAACTTTCATTAAAAGTGCCATTGTTAATTTACAATCCAGACGAGTTTTGGACATTCAAAAAGAGTTTTGAATGGTAAGATGACACATTTTACAATCATTTTTATAAGTATAATATGTATGTATTTTTATAAGTATATTTATAAGTAATAATAATTAGAAGTTGAAAAGAAAAACAATCTAAACCTTTTTAAGCATTCGACCGACCACCAGAAGAATCTTTAGAAGCGTCTCTTAAAATAAAACAACAAATGAGCATGGAAAATTGCAAATCATTGAGTAAAATTCACCTTTATAAGTTGAGCAAAGTATTTACCCTGCATGGCATTATCAGTTTTCAGAAAGATGTCGCGGATTTGACTCTGACCTGAAACACAATGGTAACATAAAACTAAAAGTTACAAGTAACAATAGATGGTAATAAGACACTAAAATGAATAAGACTAGAGTGAAAAATATCCCTAAGAACAATATAGTATAAGTTACTTTTGATCATCTGAATACGTTTGAGATGTAAAATTCAGATGTAGAATTTTGGAGAAATCATATCACAGATGTTCAATCGACCCGGGTTCACATTGGATAGAATTTTGTTTAAAAAATGACTTGTGTTAATAAATCCGATTATTGGTAGAGCCCAATCGTCGTTCCATTTAGCAGTTTTTGAATTTATCTACATTAACATGAAAAAGCCACTATTGTGTAGACAAAAGGAGTTCGTTTTCAGCTTAGGACTCCATTGGTAACATTCTCAATCGGCAAGCGGCACTGATTGGTCAACCTTAACAGTCATGTGCTCGCGTTTCTGATTGGACTATTTCGATTCAGAACTGGGTATGTATACTTCATAGCGTAGAATTTTCGATCTATGTTCTGACGTTTTATACTCGGGATATATCAGCGAGACACGACTTAAAATGACGAAATACGCGGTCATGTTTCACAAAACAAAACAAGACTTACCAACTGGGTTATACTTGAGATTGAACTTGTCAAATCTTTGGAAGGTATTGTTGTCCTAAGATAAAAGAGCAACTTTTTACTTCCCAAGAACTGCATGTTTGTTTGGTAGAAAATTCATAACATGGTGAGAATCTTTTTCATCATAAGAAAACTTCAAAAAGAAAGAAAAGAATTCTTAGGAAATCTTCTAGCCATTTGAAAATAAAAAAATAGTAACTAAGGCCTTGGCCAAACGAATTGAGCTTTCAAATGAGCGGCATCCAATGGGTAAAGTTGGATTCGTTTTGCCGCCCTAGTTTAACTCCCTTAAGGATGCGGACTCTCTCAAGGATGTAAATGTTCAATGGATCATTTAACCCTCCAATTATCTCGTTGATATTTAGCGTTGTTCAATGAAATTAAACTGAAAGTCTCGTGTGAAGCAGTAGTATTGACAATATAACGTGATTTGGACTATTCTTGCATTTTCCAGACACAACATTTCCCACTCCCACTTTTCCAGACGTACAGATGTTTCTAAAATCTTGAGCCTTTCATTTGCAAAGAAGGAAAACAGAAACTTACAGCATGCACATCCAACTTATCGACAGTCAGCTCAAAGGCATTTAGGCCAAGACTTTCAAAAACCTGCAACGAGAGCATATTTTATAAATCACAGTTTGATTCGATAATTCTGACACTTCAATATAACAAAATTTGGATTACGTGATCAAAATGATTTATAAGACATTACCCTCGCATTATTTTACAAGTTTAAGACCGTGAAGATTGCGTATCGGTGCATTTTCATTCTAGTTTACGGAACGGACAAGTTGAGTGTTTACACGGAAGCCGGAAAAATACGCACTAGTTCGAGTTTCTGTCTAAAAGGGAAAGTTAAGGTTCTGTTCCACTTTATGGAACAGCAGACTTTCTTAGCAACAATCGGGAACCATGTAAGCAGTCTGAAAAATTAGCAATGTTTTCTTCCGTTTCCTGGAACGTGAACCAAAAAAATGCCTGTGTATCGTTACGCTTTTGATAATGTTTTCAATGCGCTTTCGTTCTTACGTAAATGAAAGCCCCGAGTATACCACTTCTTGGAACGGAACAGGTTGGAACGAATGCAATCTTTTATGTTTAAACACGGCCTTAGTGTGAACTGTTCAATTATTTTGGCAAACTTTCCCCATACTTTTCACATGAGGCAGAACTTTCGGTAAATATGTAGAAATGAAAAAAGGAAAACCACTCAACACTGATATGGCAAAGCACGCACTGTACATTGTCACAAATATAAAAGTACCATTCAGACCTCATTCAATGTAGCATCCTTCTCATTCACTTTGCTGACTATTTCATCACCAAATTTTTTGGATTTCTTCTTGATGAATCTTAGCAAATGTTTTTGATTCATGCATGATGCAGCGTGGACGTGAGTATCGACCTGTAAGGAAAGTCTAATGAAAACTTCTGCAAATGAAGAACTGATTCTATTGCCCGTGTTACGATTTAGGTCCCTATTCAAACCATAAGTACTTATGACTTTCGCTGATTGAGGAAAGCAAATTAATACGTTATTCTTAAAGGAGACTTTTTTAAAGTGATACTTCTCTTCAAACAGCTCTGGCTGTCTTTGTTACTCAAAGTCTCCAGACATCACTTCAGTTACGCAAAATCGAAAAAGGGAGGTACTCTTCTACATATGCGAAAAAAATATCTTATTTCTACATGCCTAAATTCTAAAAATTCAATGTTTTTCAATGTTCACTTCTAAACCTTGCGTTAAACTTCAAACTTTGCGACCCCAAGTTCCGGACATATGTCAAGTTTTCTATAGGAGTTTTCTATAGTTTTTTGAATTGATAAATTAATAGTAATATGGCATACAACTATCTTTGATTGCCAAAAGAACTTGGCCAGTTAAACAGAAAAAGGATGTCCGATATCTACCAACAAAATTAATCATAAACATGCTTACATGTCAACTCCACAAGTCAAGCTAAAGCATACACTTCAAAACGGCAACAAACTTGTAACGGCAACAAACTTGTAACGGCAACAAACGGCACGAAAAGGCAACAAACTTGTAACAGGAATAAATACCTTTCTGACATTATAAAAGTCTCTGTGTGCAATATCTTTCAAAGCAGCAATTTCCTTCATTTCATTCAGGAGCAAGTGTAGTTTATATTTTGATTCAAGAAATTGCAAACGTCGAAATGAAAAGGATTTCCTAGAGATAAAAACAATAAATATTAAATTTGATAAAATCAAGTATCATCTAATTTTTAAAAGCCTATTAGGCAGTATATCATAATGTGAAAGGTAATTTACTTGTAGACATTTCAATAAACACAACATTTTTGTCCCTGCTTACCCAAAGTCAGAAAGTTTTTCCAAAGAGCTAGCAACTTTTTTGTCCCTGCTTACCCAAAGTCAGAAAGTTTTTCCAAAAAGCTAGCAACTTTACCAACAAATGTTACAAAAAAGGTTTACTGTGCTGAACCCAGGGGGGGGGGGGCTACATCTAGACAGCAAGCTCTGGGTTTAAGAAGACACGCGCAATGGCAATGGATTTACGATACTTCTTAAATTTATTGACGCTTTAATATGGACAGAAGACGTGCAGGATTGCAGTCATGAAGACGAGCTTCACAGAACGTACGCTACAAAGGTGTTAATCGAAATATGCATTTGGGACACTCTTGAACAATGCGTGTAACAAACTCGTTGAAGTTATTGTTTTTGCTTATATAAATTTATTAACAGAACAATTAGCGTGTCCCTTTGTAAAAACGAATATGAAGGGAGTTTCGCTCATTGTTAATCAGTTCTTGTTCTGAAGCCCAACAGACGCATGGTTTTCTCGTCAAGGCAAGAAAAAACAAGCTCGACTCAACGTGTAAAAGGTTGTGAGTACACCTTTATTGTATATGCGAAATAAGGGCGCATAGGATAATTACACAGATAGAGTTGGTATCTGAGGTATTGTAGGCTAAGGGACGCTTACCTTTCTTCATTGTAAGGAATTACTGCGGGAGATCGTTATTCGTAGAGCATTTCTAAGAATCCATATATTTCATATATCGGTTTAAGTATATAAGTGATTTGTTTGCAGTCATACAATTCTTTTTTACTTAAGCTAATAAGTAAGGCCATCCACGTGTGTAATCACGTTTCTTATAGGAATCCTTTAGTAGCACTTTAAGTTGCATGAGTTTGCTTACAGCTGGTAGATACCCCCCATAAGCTCGGAGTAATACCTTATGGTCTTTGGGTCCGCCAAGTTGTTTTGGAAGTCGTATTTTATTGCAATATATTTGATTAGCTTTCTGAAGTTGTATTTAATGTACTTTAATTTTATCAGTATTAACGTATATAATCTTTGTTGTTGAGACATGAACAGTGAGCCATTGTTTCACTAATAGATTTTGTGGTTATATTTCTAGTTATTCTTCACCGTGCAAGGCTAGGGTTAGCGATAGGGAATTCGTCCTTGCGCTTAGGATATCATTATTGTTTGTTTTGTACAGTCCTCTTTTTAAGGCTATCGGTCAGAGTGTCAACCCCCCTAGATTCCCGACATTACAACAACCAAACACCCCCGTAAGGCATGATACTGCCTATTGGTCGCAAAGGCCATATTGCATGACAATTTAACTTTAATATTTTATGATTCAGTTCAGCACGATAGCTTTTTTAAGGGCCAAAAGCATTGGAAAATAAAACAGAAACACTTTACTCAGACAACTGGAAAGTTTGCTTGTTAAGGTAAGGAAGCAGGACGTAAAAGAATGTGACAAACTTGTGAAATCAATGGGGCAGCTCAATTTATGAACAAAGGGATTAAAATTATGATGATTCATTCAATGATGATGATTTTAAACATTCAAATATTTTCAAAATCAATGAATGAAACACAAGGAAAAGAGTGTTCGTTATGACACTTGAACAAGTTGTCAAGTATAAAACATAAAAGCTTCCATAAAGGTGCACAATTTACAAAAATTCCAATAAAACAATGTGAACAGATAAGAAAAGGACAAATGAGGATGTTCCTTTCCAACATATTACACGCCCTTCATGAAACATGCTGAGAACCTCCCTTTACCCCTCCTCCCCATCCTTCAGGTAGAGACAATATAAAGCTTAGACAAAATCACGAACAATTTCATCACAGCTTGCATGAGATCAAAGAATCAAAATTAGTGGTTTAGCAAAGATGGTATAGCACTGCCTCCTTAGCAAATGTTGAGGCAGCCTGAGTTTTCAAAACAGAGTAAATTCCCTATTGTAGCCACCAAAGCCCTTTGAGACACCCTATCGGCTTGACAAGTTCTTTTGTGTTTTGTTCCATTTAAACCAATTTCATTTAATACAATGAGCTGGAAAATTATTCTGCCATCTAGCTGGCTTAAATTTATCCATTAAAAACCTGATAATAATTCACCACTACTGTAACAATAACTTGATTATACATTAGTGATCATATGTCTCATGTTTCAAGGCATTTTCTTGAAAAGTTTCTTGTAATTTTTTCAATGGGAAGACATGTTTTAAATTGACAGCTGGTGTGCAAATAAAAACAAAGTCATTACTCACACTGGTCCATGGGTTGATAATGCAAGCATGACATTATGATCTTCAATAAATTCATCTATGCTTGGAAATGGGTGAATTACAGGTTCTTTCTTCTTATTGGGTTTTCCATTCACAGTTCTTTTGCAACCAGTTATACTGAATACGCCATCTACAATCTCAAATGTGTACCCTATATCATCTGGAAATTCTTGGGTGAATGGTTTCCAAATACTTCCATCTGCTTTTATACCTTCATGTTCTTCATGTGCACACACAGCTATCAACACGAGAAAAATATAAATAATTTAGCTTAAATCTTCTAATTTAGAGTACCTACAATAATATGAATTGTATGGAATTGATTGAAAGAAATTGAAATAACTGAATCCTCTTCTTGCTAAGAATTCCTCTTCTCATTAAGCCTAGGCTTTCTAATTTTTTCAACTTTTCTAAAAAGCATGTATTAACAAAGACAAATCTGGAAGATCTTATGCATTGAAATGTGTCTTTTTCAACTTACATCTTTTTAAATTATACCAAGAGTTTGACTTTTCATGTCTCTTAAAATAATTCTCTAACTTGTAATCTTCATCTGCCTTTTGAATGCATTGTGCTGTTGTTGGGCAAAATGTTTGCAAGCTCAAGGCCATGTATTTTGCTCTTATGAATAACGCTTCACAAAGCAGTTGGGAGGCTTGAGAAAGTTCATGAAAAGGAACCTATAAACAAAATGATATTTTGTTAGTCTTAGGATACTTTTGCATTCTGCAACAGACCAGATACAAACCTTACAAGGCAAATACAAACCTTATGATTTTTAATAAGAAAAAAATTAATGCTTTTGTACAAAATTTTGAAAAGGTCCATCAAAGAGATCAGAAAATATTTCAACCAACAACAGTACTGCCCAGCATGGGATCGCCAATAGCACCTAGAAGTATTTCTTTCTCATCTTCTACATCATCAACCTCAGCTTCAAGATATCAGCAAAGCTTGGCAGGATATGGATAAAATACTATAAGCTGCTTTCCTTTAAAAGCCTTTCCTTGGTTACAGGCCATAGCAAAGTAGCTGCATATGATCAAACAGACATCATACTTAGGATTGTAAAAGCATAGATTTTTTGGAAAGACTATAAGTGCAGAGAAAGGATGATATGATCTTGAGCACTAAACCTTCAAATTTTTTGGAAAATCTCCTGCTCATTAGAAACCTCTTTAAGATATTTGGAAAAGTGCCCCTTTACTTAAACATTTGCTTTTACAATCCTAAGTGTGCAATTTTGCAGCTTGATAGCATTGCTTCACAAACATGGTGGCAAAGGCATTTTATGGTAGACAGAAAATATATAAAAAAGCTACAATATTTGGAATAGCCTGTCATAACAAATTTCAGCCAATTCTCTGAGAGGCTTTGATAATGAAGAGGAGAGGGTTCAGCATAGGAGAAGAAGGTTAAGGCTCCTGGTCTCTTTATAAATTTTTACTGCACAGCAGCTTTCCTGAAACAAAAGTTTTCAAACCAGCCTTTTGTACCTAGCAAGGATACCAGCCCTAGGAAGGACAAAAGTTGGTATCTATTTGCAAGATTTTAATGCGTGAAATCTGTGTGGAATTTTTGCAAATGGTTTTGAAAATTTAATTACTAGGTAGGTCCATAAAAATAAGGATAGTCGACGGTCATTGTCTCGTCGTCTTAGAGCACTTCTGTGCCAAATGACTGTTACCCAAGGGAGAAACACAATAAAAAGAAAATTCCACATATCTTACCCCTGAAACATTGTCTCCCATTAAAGAAAGTCTTTGAAAGTGAGGGGCGATTATTTGCATGCCTTTTTCTTCTCCTTCCTCGACGAAAATATCGTTTTCTGTTTCTTCTAAAATAGCCATTGGCAAATCTGGTGGTTGTTTTCTTAGGCTGTGCTTTGGTGATCTTTTAGCATGCTGTACATCATTTTTAGCCAATCTTTCTAGGTCAACTTCATTTTTGAGCATCTCAATCTGTTCGATTGGCTTTTGTGGAAAATTAAATGGATTTGTGACCGATTGACTTCTACCTCTTGGCCTAACTTCCTCGAGGATACCATGTTCATTGGAATCGATTGTTCTATTTTGTTCCTTCGATTCCTCATTTTCTGATGGTTCACGCGTGGGCACATTAGGATCTTCAACATTACAATACTCAAAAATACGTGCTCGTCTTGCAACATCTTTCCAGGATCGAAGCATTTTCTTTCCTTCGGCTTCAACTTCCCTGTGTTGTTCTGCAACAAGTGCTAACGCGACGTCTCCTAAGTCCAGGCTGGGTCGTGACGAAGTAATCTCCTCAGAATCCTTTTCGATCGGCTTAGGATCAATGTCAGACTCCATTCTTGGTTGATAAATTATTCTCAGCTAACAATGCTCTAAATCACAAGATAATGCTTTTACAGGAAAGATTTTAATACACTTCCATCAACTCAACTAGCTCTACCTCCCGCCCCTCTCCAAAAGTAATTTTGCAACGCATCGCAATGCCTGCTGGGAAGCAAAACAAATCTTGTTCGAGCCAAGCAGCCCATCTGATTTACGAAACTATTTACGCACTAAAGTAACATTTATCAAAATACCAATATAAAATATACATATAGTAGTAGAAATCTTAAACTAAAATATCTGTCACGTTAATTAGAAGAGACAGAAGACTACATCGGTGATGAATTATAGGGCATTGCATAATATATTTTGATATTTTGAAAAATACATGTAACTTGAATTAGCTATAGAGTTAAAGGTGTGACAAATAAGGTTGGTCGTTCCCTAACAGGAGGCGGCAACTTCTTGGGTTTATCCTAGCAAGCCATACTTAAGTTCTCAGCATATCAAAATGGGAGGATCTCGCCAAAAAATGAAGCTTCGTCAAGTAACGAACTCGATAGGCTCAAATTTCAGGACTTTGCCAACGGCGTCACTTATACCACAATAAGGTTTTACAGTTTTATGCCTTTGAGAGACATTCAAAAGATAGGACACTGGCATATAAGGGGGTGGCCCTTTTCGAGTTAAAGCCCTGGACTCGGGGGGGGGGGGTGCCTTGACACGTTTGAAAGTACGGGGACGTGCCATTATTTAGGGGTACCTTTTTCTGAAAAGTGCGAAATTATCGGTATCAGCTTTTGAAATATGTGCGGAACTATGGGTACCATTTGAAGAAGCATGCATAATTATGGGTATCATTTTGGAAAAAAGGTATAAGGAGGGAGATTCAGCATTAACAAAATGAATGTCCAGTTAGAAATGAAAGTATGAAATATGTGTAATATCGAGATTTCGGGGCCAAGGACATGCAAATTGTTTGATGATTTTGTTGTGCTTCAAAAATTTTATTTGCTTTGCGGAATTATGGGTATAGTTTTCATTATGTTTGCGGAATTATGGGTTACATTTTTTCAGACATGTACAGAATTATAGGTCGAATTTTTTTAACCAAAAGGGCACGTCTTCGCCCAAAATCATGCTTAGTTCCTCCCCCCCCCCCTCCCCGAGGACCTGGACCTCCTTCTATTCCCCTTCCACTTCTCGTGATCAACTTCGATTACAACACTGGTTATAGTTGGCGTGATACACTGCCTCACTCTCTTTGGTTTTCTCCATAACTTCACATTTTTAACCACTCCCAATTTACAGACGTATTTTCATGCTCCTTGCGGCATCGTTTTGTAACCTCCGTATGTCCTTGTAACTTTTATTCGGATAAAAACAAAATTTAGTGATGCGATAAATTACGTTATTTAGCACCAGGTGAAAAGGCTCACAAAAAAAGGACCACTTCGCTTTGCACGATTTCTAATCTATTAGGTAAAATTTAAAAACTCAATACAATCATATTGCTCATTATACATTTAAACAACAGTGAAAAATTAAACAACCCTCTGTTTTTAAAGTTGAGGTCTACAGAAACTCAACTTGAGGATATTACATTCGTAATTTTACAATGCGAAATCAAGACTGAAATGTTGGTGTGGACAAACATTTTATAAATTGGAAATGAAAACATGTAAAAACCACCCTGCCACACAGCAAAGAGGATTAGTCCAGGGTCAAGACACAAAATTTTGTTGTCAAGAGTCCCATGAAAGGTCAATTGACACTTGGCAAAAGTAAGCTTGCATTATACTTTCATAAGACAGTGGTATCAATAAACATTCGTCAGGCAGAAACTTTCCAAATGTTTCACAAAATTTTGCAAATTTAGTTTTCACACTAAACTTAGAGAGGTCATAT